GCTGGAACCCTGTTGGTTAACCGATTGACCATTAGCTCTCCTGAATTTAAGGCACCGTTTCAAACTCACCATCTGACTAAATGCGCCCATGCGTCCCACGTTGCCAATGCCGCTGGCATTTCCGCTGTTGCGCGCCGATGAGCCGGTGGCGTAGACCACGGCCACGGGCTTTCCGCCCTCCACTTCGGACTTGGATTGCGCCGGCTTCAGCATCTTGGCTATTTGTCCTGCGGGATGGGAAATACGGAGATGCGGATGTTCCTTAGTTTGGGATATACACATAACACGCGACTGAATTGCCTTCTTTGATAACGCAACTGCATGTATTTTCACAGATACACACGGGTGTGAGGGTGTTAGTGAGTGAGGGCCACGAGTGTGTGTGGTACTATCAACGATGCGTTGTTTTCGCCTCGCGGCGAATTAGGCTAAGTGAAGAGAATGGAGCGAATGAAGCGCACTGGAGTCGAATGCAACAACAAAGGGCAAGCGGCACAGTAAGATTGGGGTGCATACACACACGCACACCGGTACGCACACTCGTGCAATGGTGGTGTGCGTGTGTTAACAACGGTGTGACAAGGATAAAGATGAAGAAGCGCACAAACAACCCGAAACCAGATCGCCTGGACATTAGAGATGGGCAGCACGTGACCGAAGGTGAACCTTAGCCAAATAGAGATGGTTCGTTATGAAAGTTCGTGACTTGGCACGATGTTTGCCACAGAACGGAAGTCTATCCGTTGGATTAACCCGAATCGATGATGACATGACGATCTTTTTCGAACCAGTGCAGTGTTTTTGATTAACTTAATGGTATTGAGCATTGCAAGTTATCCCTTCAAAAACGTTGCACACCAAGAACCTGAGAATTCATCGATGTATTTATCTAGTGATTTCAAAAAATATTTGCTTGATTTACAATAGTGTTTTCCATATTGAAATTTTGAATTTTATACTGAAGGAAATTGACTATCAGATACCTATTAAACCAATTTAAATATGAATACTAAAGAATCCGTCAGTCTTCCTATCTAGTGATATAACAAAATATTTATTTGATTTACAATTTTATTCATCTCAAATCTCAAACTTTATACCCAAGTGACTCAACTACCAGATAAACCAAAATAAATATTAATATCTAAGAATCCGTCAGTCCTCCTATCCAGCGGTCTCAAAAAATATTTATTTTATGTAATATTTTATATCAAAACTTCGGACTTTATTCCCAAGTGTCTTAACTATCAGATGTTGTTGTACCAACTTAAGTATAAATATTAACATTTTAAAGAAAGGTAGCATCACTACAGAAACCCACAAGACAACTCCCCGATTAAGAACCAACCCAATATTGGCAACTCGTATAGTTCCATATCTAGATGTGTAACCGGCTTTTCTAAACATTTCAAGTTTTACATAGTCTTCGTTTGATGTAGTAATTATTCACCTGTCGCTCTCTCGATATTTGCATAATCATAACAAAGCAAGTGGCCAAAAAAGAATAGAGATAGCCCAAAACAAAAACAGCAAAGGGTCGAACGCTAAAAATACCTACGAGCTCTCTCACAAACACCTGCAAATGACTCAGACTCACGGCGGGCTTAAACATCGTTGAGCACGGGCCTATACCAGACTGTCCAACCAGATGGTGACTCTCGAGGTCTTAAATTCGGCGGGACTAATATCTCAAGGTCTAGGAAGTTCCCTTAAATTGCGAGGGCGACTCCATAGTTCGACCCCACCAGTCTTCTATGTAGTTAATCACCAACCGGGTTTGTCGCCAACTCGAGCGGGCAGCTAACGCTGATATACTGCGTTTATGCGTGCTTGAAATCCCACAGAAATGGAGTTCATGCGATGGCTACTTGATTTAAGAATATTAAAATATATCAGATCAAAGATTATATTTTTTTAACCAATCCCTTTTTGTCTATAAATACTTCCAGCTGCCAATCTGCTACATTGAATATTTACGCAACAGTTTAAATATCTTCAAGTTTGTTTAGGTTTCTAACAGTCTCTACAAAGGAGTATTTGTAACCGCAAACGGGGTTAAAACCACAAAAGGTTTGTTTGATTGTTTTTAAATTCTATCAAACAGACTGTTATTCTACCAACAAAAACTTTATAGAAAGTTTGCGGCTAGTTCAGGATTAACAAAATAACCTTGTGTGGAAACTAATCCTCGTTTTCAAGATCCATTTGCTTAGAAGTGATCACAACTAGTTCATATTCAATTTTCAATATTCAATGATATACTTTTCTAGAATCATCAATCGGCGAATCCGCATAAACGCGGCTACGGGCGAGCACACACGTGTACAGCGCTTACACCTATTTGCGCTCGCCTGTTTTGGGCCTCAGCTTCGTGGCTGCATACGTGTGTTGGTGTGTGGCAGAGTTGTTCTTGTTTTGGCCTTTTTTCTCACCCCGCTCTCTCTCTATATATCTCTCTTTCGCACTCGCTGAGGCTTTGCAGAATGTCACGCAGTCCAGATACTTTGACTTGAAGTTGAATCTATTATTTTCCCTTGCAATAATAGCTACATGTGCATGTGTAGTAGCTCAAATCCGCAATCGCTAGTCCGCTGTTTTCAATGCAAAATCCTCAAAGCGAATTCGCAGTAGCGGCGAAATAATCAGCTGTTCGCCGCCCGATAAAAAAGTGGGAGAAAACGCGCGTGCAAGTGTGCGAGTGTGTGTGTGAGTGAGCGCGCCAACTGGGCGATGGGCGTGCAGAGGGGGCGGGGTTGGGTGGCTCACCGATTTTAGTTGTTATTTCGCGGGGGTCTCTCTGTCTTTTATTATTACTTTTTGCCAATTTCTAGCACTCTTTTCGGTTCGTCTCGCTGGTCTCCCCCCAAAGCGTATCAAACGATGAATATGGTAGGCAAAAGAAACCCGAAAAAGCAAAGATGGCGTTTTACGCTGCCCATGCAACTTTGTGGAGTGTGCCAGTGTGTGTGGGTGTGGGCGTGTGTGCGAGTGTATGGGGGCGAGTGCACCCCTCCATCGCCACCGCCACTGCCAGCCAAATCCTGCCACGGGATCCCGCCCACTTACCATGCTCGTCCCGGAAGAAGAAGTTCACCTCGTCGGCCTTCACCGTACCGCCCGTCGAGTGCGCCATTTTTGTTGGTGGGGCAGCAGCAGCCGGAGCAGCAGTTGTTGTTGTTTTCGCTACCGCTTACCGCTCGCCAGGTGGACCGCCAAAAACAGAGATGAGACGTGTGCACGGGAAAATCGGAAGGGCGGCGGTGGGTGGGCGGACGTACTGCAGCCACGGGCTGGGGCACGTGTGCAAGTCCGGATGCGGACCACGACCACGACGACGACGACGACGGAGGCGGCGGCGAGCGCACTTGTACAAAAACTGTCGCCCGAGTCAAAATGGCGAGCGCATTTTTCACCTCCAGCGGCAGGGCATTTTTTTTTCTTTGGTCACACACACTCACAACGGCGGCCCTTTTTCGGTGGCCTTTTTCGCGACTTGCGGCGCTTCGATTTTCACCCGGATGGTGGCAAAAGATTCGTCGGACTCTTGGCTTTCGAACGGTATGTGGCTTCGCGAGCTCGGACGACTTCTAAGCGCAGCACAATGGTCACAAAATTTCCACCAAGTGGCTGCTTTTCGTTTTCATGTGGGAAAGGCAAAGCAGGCTGTGTGCGGGTGCGAATGAAATGGCAGACAGTGCGCGCCAATTTACGCATCAATTTACGCAGTGTTGCAAGCAGCTGGCTGCCGCCGTCCCTTTGCCACACTGGTCGCGAATGTAAACAAAGTGGCCACTTCGTCCGGCCGAGCGATATTCGACTGGTATGCCGCGAACGGCCACACTGTGGAGTCGAATTGCGAATTTCTGGAGTTTTTTTGTTGGTTGGTGTGGAAAAATGACAAACTACAGGCCCAGGGAAACCGAAGCAGCTATTTAACAAGTCCCCAGCACAGGAGCAGCCGCACACAATGGTCGACCCGGTGGCGGCGCTGTGCAACTACAATGTCCTGGAGGTGATCTTCTCATACCTGGAGCTGGACGACCTTAGCCACTGCTCGCAGGTGTGCAAGAGTTGGTACCACTTCCTCAACGACGAGAACAGCGACGTGTGGCGCTGGCACTGCCTGAACAAGCTGCCCAAGGAGGCCCTCAAGTCCGACCTGCTGGCCTCGGTCTCCACGTACAAGACGAAGCTGCGGGCGTACTTCCACGCCTGGAGCCCCAACGACTGCTCCCGGAATGTGTACATCAAGCCCAACGGGTTCACCCTGCATCGGTGAGGACCTCGAATCCCTTTACGGTCGTAGATATGGTCTCACATCCTTCTATTCCGACAGCAATCCCGTGGCGCAGAGCACAGATGCGGCCCGGGGCAAGATTGGGTTCCGCCACGGTCGGCACACTTGGGAGGTGATCTGGGAGGGACCGCTGGGCACCGTGGCCGTCATCGGTATATCCACCAAGGAGGCGGCGCTGCAGTGCCACGGCTATGTGGCCCTTCTCGGCTCCGACGACCAGAGCTGGGGCTGGAACCTGGTCGAGAACCACCTGCTGCACAATGGAGACATGCAGGGCAGCTACCCGCTGTTGAACAACGCGCCCAAGTACCAGGTGGGCGAGCGGATACGCGTCATTCTCGACTGCGAGGACAACACCCTGTCGTTCGAGAAGAACTACGAGTTCCTGGGCGTGGCCTTCCGAGGTAAGGCAAAACGGTCCGCCAGTGGAGGTGATGGCACTACTCAACCAATGCATTTCCTCTTCTAGGCCTGCCGGACAAGAAGCTCTATCCCACAGTATCCGCTGTCTACGGCAACACCGAGGTATCGATGGTCTACCTGGGCACCCCGTTGGACGGATAGCTTTGCCCGGGCGTACAACTTGGTTAACACACTCAATGGATCCATTAGGTTATCGTGTACACTTGTATTTATCTCAATTACGTTTGCTTCATTCCACCTGCAACTCAGTTCGATATCGTAAATTTAGTTACTAGTTTCGTTTTCTGTACAAAATTATGCATTTTGTTGATTTTACGCTACGCCAAAGTTCAATCCACCTCGGCACTATCTTCACATGGCAATTTACGTTAGTTATACGAACCAAATGAATATAATATAGCGATTAAACAATAGTTGAATCAATTTTTTATACACCGAAAATCGCAGATGATTGTGAAAGTAAAACAGAAAGAAGAACAAACTGCAGTCGCTGATCTTTCAATCCGCTGATTACAATGTGGTTATCCTGTGCAGACTACTGTTTGGGATCGGATTTCATCTTGGCCCAGTTGTCATCGTCGAACAGATCGTCAAAATCATTGTAGAAGTCGGAGTGGACGTGCTTATCGTTCGAGGGCAGATGGTCCATCATCATTCCTGTAGCTCCGCCGGACTGAAAAGATTCAAATTCAGAAAACAATTATCTTCGGTATGCTGCCCTTTGTATGCCCTTGTGATCTTAGAAAAATGGGTGAATTTTGTACAGCTTTATTTTGTTTTATCTGTAGGATAAGTTATACGGAATTGACATAATGTACTCCACAGACCGAAACAGAAAAATTTTGATAGAAACTTCGAATCTTGCTATGAAAGGTATGGGATAAAGTCGGCAGATCCGCTTGATTTCCAATTCATTTAAGTAGGTGCTTGCATGTGGTCAAGAAACCCAATGATTATTTTTACATAGCTAACTTTTAAACTGTATAAGAGTAAATCTGAAAGAAGACCGACAATATTAGCCACATGATGCTGATCTAGGACTTCTCACTTGGGCACCACTTTTTTCAATAACACAAGATGGGTATGCATCTTTATATTTGGGGTTTTTTCAAGGTGAAGCTTTGTGGGGACTTACCTCGTCCATCTCCATGTAGCCGGGGCCTTCGGAAAACATTTCGTCGGCAGCCAAGGACGGCTTCAGGTTCAGATCCATATTTATACTTACTGCAACTTTTTATTTAGGTTTCCTACTCTTTGTGCAGAAAAATCTCCACTCTCATTGTCGGCGTTGCCACTGCGATGACAGAAAGCAAAGACTTGCTATCTGGCCACTCTGCCAATCAGCTGATTTTCTCTAATCCCTGAAGTATAAACATTGACTTATTTGAGAAATGGTGCGTGTGGGCCTCCAAATTTCCGCCACGCTGGAGAACGTGGACAAGCTGGAGACCTGTCATCCGGACTACTCCTTCTTCCTGAAACTGAAGTGCAGCAACTGCGGCGAGCAGTCGGACAAATGGCACGACATAACCGAGTCGGAGCGAGTGCAGCAGGATTCGCGCAATGCGGCCGGCTTTAACTTCTTCATGAAGTGCAAGATGTGCAGTCGCGAAAACAGCATCGACGTCGTGGAGAAGTCGAACGGTGGGCTTTCTCCAGATCTCCCGCAAAGCTCCTAACTGATCCCACTCCACAGCTCCTTACACGGCGGATGACTCCGGCAGATTCAAAACCATAGTGATCTTCGAGTGCCGCGGCGCGGAGCCCGTGGATTTCTCGCCTCGCATCGGATGGCGGGTCTCATCCTCTGAGAATGGACAGCAGTTCGAGGAGGTAGATCTTTCCGAGGACGATTGGGTGGAGTACGACCAGAAGAACAACAACTCTGTGGGCATCTACGAGTTCTCCTCAAAGTTCACCAAGCTGAAGAAGTGATTCTGAGCGGGAGTCCTTTTTAAGCATTTTTAATCATTGATAATGGGAATATTGTTTGCGCGTCTTGATAGTAAGCTAAAAGTAGGATCTTCTTAGTGTAAACCCTGCATTTAGCTTATCATTAAGATGAGAAATGGACCTGAGAGAAAATAAAAACTGAATTTGTAATGTTTGTAAAAAGCCTAAACATTTAGAGGACCATCAACTATTTAAGTGTGTGCGAATGGAAGTCTTAATGTAAGGTTTTTTAAAGTTAGAATCAATACTTTTGTTTTAAACAAAAATAATGCCAATTTAAACCTTCACGAGATTAGATTTCATTCTTAATTTTTCATATAATTCAATAGCCACAAATTCATAGTCATTTTTATTTTCAAAAAGAAAGCAGTTTTCATTGTGACTAAAACTAAAGAGTACTTTTTGCTTTCCGTGTTGGATTCTTTACCAAAATTATTTTTTATTCCTCCAATATGGAGCGAAAAAATTAAATATTTCCTAATGAAAGGTTAACATTAACTTATGCTTGGTAAGAATGGAAATTTTGTTTCTTGTAGCTTATAATCATAAGAAAACAGATTCTTAAAATTGTAGATAAACTGCGCACTGAATGTTTTAAGATATTCGTGATCAGCAAGCAATTCTCTTAGCAGTTTTCGCCGTAAGAGAAAGTAGCTCCCAAACTCTCTCCCCTAACAATATTCTCTTGGTATTGATTTTAATGCCGGCTACTTTGATTTAAGATTGAGCACGAAGATTGCACTCTGCCTTTTGTATTTGCCTCTCTGTGTGCGTTTGCATGTTCTTTTGTCAAGACATTTCAGTATTTCGCCAGCCTTTGCGCGATTCGGACCGGATACGGAACTCGGAGCAACCTATCCCACCCGGATATCGTTAAAACGCGCGTAATATTTACTGAATGGTGGCACATTAATTACTCCAAAGGCACCTGCCAAGTGTTTAGCAAGTGAGTCTCCGGTAATTATCCGTCTGGTGAGAGAGTCAAAGTGGCAGAGGCATTGAGTGCATCAAAGTGGCAGAGGCATTGAGTGCATCATTAAAATTCGCAGTGATTAGATAATGGGGCAGTCTTATCTGGACACTTGGCCTACGTATTTCAGCAGCCTGCAGAAGTTCCCACAAGTCGATGCAGTAGTAGAATCCAGCCCGACCCTGACCTTTCAAAAATCACGGAATAGGATACTCATTTTTACACACCCTAGGAACCCCCGAGAAGATTGCCTGTGGGGCAATTCCCACACGGTTCATCCATTATGCATTATTCTAGTCTGGCACGCATCAATAATGCATATTCCCTACTTGAAAAGCATATTCCAATTACAACACTCTCCGTTTTTCAAGACACTAGCAGGCAACAATTTATCTCAATTGGCGAAGATTGGATTGCATGCATGCACGAACATTCTCCAAACTACATAGCGACTATTTGCAATGAAGGCAGCTCCGCTTAAATTAATAAGATCAAAAAGCCAATTCATCGATCTTCAAGTTTAATAAGAAAGAACTATGACAATGACGTACCCGGAATTCATTACATCTTCATTTCTGTAGACGGCACGTAGTGACGAATCACTGAGGAAGTGTACGGAAGGCGACACCTTTACGAATAAGAACACCGATCGAAAGATAGGGTTGTTATGCACGCAGCTAATTATTTCATAATCTTCACTGAAACTCGAGTAGATCGCTACCAAAGTCTTCACAAGATACTCCTTCTAAACTTCATTTAATTTGTATTCCCTTGAAGAGGAAATAATAAGACGTTTCCAACTGTAAAGTATATATATTCTTGATCAGAATCTCTAGAGGAGTCGATCTAGCCATATCTGTCTTTACGTTTCTACGCAAACTAGTCTCTCAGTTGTGAAGCTACATGGATGAAACCTTCCCAAAAGTCTTATTTATTCTACATTATAACTTCCGGGTTTTTTGTCATATTAACTTCAACTCTTGGGAATATCATTCTTTTAATATTTCAGAATTTTGAATAAAATTAAATCAAATCGGACTACTTCATTATTTAGCTGACATAGAAATGATACGATAGTTAACCGATAATAATACATACACCGTTATTTTTCGTTTTCGGTAAATATATACGGTAATCAATTGAAATGGAACATTATCTTAACATTTGTATAATTAGTTTTTAATTTTCTAAAAATCTGAAAGTTCTGGACATACAAAGCAGTACAGATACTTTGGCGTGCCGAAGTTAACTTTGTTTCTTGTAATTTATACTATCCAAATGGGTTAAAAAGTAATAGATTATAGATATTGAAACCACTGAGAATAACTAAGAATTGAATAAATACTTCTTACCTTAATAACGTGCAAAATCAGCCACAAGTGAAATAGCTTTAAACTACCTGTCCCATAATTATAATGTTAATAAAAACACATTTTTAAGGAATAGTGTTAGGAAAATAAAATATATCATATTATCTGTTGTTCATAAAATAATTGCCGTGTACGTTAAACTTTCTTTGTTATAGAGTAAAACTGGCACTGTAAATGTATTTTAGTCAAGATTTTATTTTCGTAACTTGATAATGGGTGATATGTACTTTTTTATTTTTAATTTCCAAGAGATCTCTGCCCACAAGGAATCTTAGTAAATGGTACTAACCTAAATTAGTAATATTTTAATATTTTTACGCTATAAAAGATTAAGGAAGAAAGAAGGTAAAAATAAAAGAATTGAAGAATCGAAGAAATTTGTAGTTCGAGTCATGTAATTAGTTTTAATAAAAGTTTTTAGTAGTTTAATAAAAGTGATTCTAGGCTACTACATTTGGTTGAAAATCTTTTAGAAGTCCACGCAAAATCAAGGCATTTATAGCTCAAAAAATAAAAAAACGGGGCTTATGTTTTTTATTTAATTTTATAGATAAGGTACTTCTATTTTTGGTCTTCTACTTAAAAATAAACCTATGTCAATACACCGAAAAAATGCGTGATTAAAATTAGAATGCCATACATAATTATTTCACTCCTTAGAAATCCGGACGACTCCCCGTGTTTAGTGGCCATAAGCTCCTGTTTACTTTTACATGTCGGCTCCGGCGGCGGCGTCCGTCCTGGACTTTGACGAAATTCTCGCTGAGATAGGCGAATTCGGGAGATTCCAGCGTCTGAACTATCTGCTCATCTGCCTGCCTGTCTTATTCGCGGCCGCCAACAGCCTGTCGTATGTTTTTACGGCAGGATCGCCCACCTATCGATGTTACGTGCCCGGCTGCGATAGTTTAGACCACCCGGATTATGGAGCAGATTGGGTCTCCATCGCCGTGCCCGGCAGCTGGAGCAAGCGGGGTCACTTCACACCATCCACCTGCGATAGGTTCATGGCAAACGGAAGCCGCTCCGTGTCCGAATCCGAACCTTGGAGACCGTGGCCGTTGGACCAGTGCTCCGCTGAGAATTTCACTGCGGAGACGGAGAGATGCCGACAGTTTGTGTACGGCAGTTCGGAGCGCACCATTGTGCAGCAGTGGGGGCTGCAGTGCCAGGAGAATCTCTGGAAGCTGGCGTTCGTGGGCACGATGCACTTTGCTGGCCTGGTGCTCGGAACAGCCCTGTCCGGTTACCTGGCGGACCGGTAAGTATAAAATGGAAAGCTTTTGGAGAATTAAAAATCGATCAAAGTTTTAAATGTAAAAGTAATGTAATGTAAATAATAATTTTAGATCATATAAGATAACTAACACCGATTATAAAACATAAACATTTTGATTCCCAGAAGTTCGATTCCAAATGCAATTATATGGTTAGTAACAGAACTTTCCTTAGATACGGCCGTAAGCATGTCTTTTTGATCTGCATCGTGTTCATGGCCCTGACGGGAGTGGCGCAGGCGCTGTCCTGGGACTATACCAGTTTCCTGGTCTTCGCCTTGTTGAACGCGGTGGGCACTTCCGGCGTGTACCCGCTGGCCTTCATCATCGGCGTGGAGATGGTAGGGCCGCGGAAGCGCGAAATGTCCTCCATCGTGCTCAACTATTTTTACGCAGTGGGAGAGGCGCTCCTCGGACTGTCAGTTTTCCTGCCCGACTGGCGCCAACTGCAGCTCGCGCTTTCGATTCCGCCCCTTATCTGCGTGGCCTACTTCTGGTTGGTACCGGAGTCAGTTCGGTGGTTGCTGGCCCGTAATCGGCGGGAGCAGGCCGGCGACATCATCCGCCGGGTCGCGAAGGTAAATCGGCGAGACATATCCATGGAGCTGATGGCCAGCTTCAAGCAGCAGGAGCTGGAAGCGGAAACGGCGCCGGAGTACGGAGCCGAGGGTGTCCTGGCCGAGCGGAAGGACGATAAGATTTGGTTGGCCATCAAGCAGGTAGCGGGCTCTCGCATTTTGATGGCCAGATACGCCATTTTGCTTCTCATTTGGGCCGTCAATGCAATAGTCTACTATGGACTTTCGCTGAACGCGACCAGTCTGAGTGGCAACAAGTACCTCAACTTCGCTCTGGTCTGCCTGGTGGAGATCCCCGGCTACAGTCTAGCGTGGGTAGGTTTTGTTTGTCCGGATCCGAGTGCCACCATCTAACCCATGCCCAATCTCCCACCAGTAGCTGTTCCTGCGGAAACTCGGCCGACGGCTGGCCCTTTCAGGATCCTTGCTGCTTTGCTCTATCACGTGTGTAGGCAGCGGTTTCGTAACTCTGGGTAAGTAAATAGGCAGTTTCTGATCAGTAAATGGTAAGAATATTAATATTAACGCTCCCTGGTTTTAAGAATTTGGCTTTGTTTGTAATTATTTTGTTCAAACCAAATATATAATAAAAGTATCTAGCCTGACCCTCAAGTTTCAATTATATTCCAATTCACTGTACATATCCGCTAAGCGCAAGAAGATTGGATTCCCTGCCAGACCGGAGTTGAAGGTAGACACTCATGGAGTTGTAAGTTTCCTAGCTCCTGATACAAGATCTGTGCGCCCCAGTCCATCTTTTCACAGCTTTCCTGGGCATTAATAACCTAACATATAACCATCCTAACCCGCAGGTGCCAATTGGCTGGTTGTGACGCTCTTCCTTGTCGGAAAACTGGGCATCACATCATCCTTTGCCGTCATATACACCTTTACTGCGGAAATGATGCCCACGGTAAGGAGCTCTCACTTAGTCGAGTCAACACAACCGACTGAATTGTTCCGGATTTATTTCAGGTTATTCGGAGCGGCGGCGTCGGTGTCATGTCCACATTTGCACGTTTCGGAGCAATGCTGGCACCTTTCGTGCCTCTTTTGGTAAGTCCAGTCCCAATCCGTTGATCCTATGGTCTTCTCAAAAGCATCAACACAAATTGTTGACATTGAACAGAAGAACTGGAATATACAAATCCTTAAATCGATTCAAGACTTTTCGCAAAGCTTGCACAATTAGGAATCTCTTCCAAACAAAAAACATTTTGACTTTTCTTTTACGGTCTCAAAATACGTTAATGTCCTAAATGCATACCTAGTGTAGTTTTCCTATATCTAATGAAATTAATCCTTTAATGTGTTCTCGTCAGGCATCGTATTACGAGCCGCTGCCTCTGCTGCTATTCGGGGGCTTATCAATGGTAGCTGGACTCCTCTCGCTTTTGCTCCCGGAAACCTTTAACCGGAAGCTGCCGGATACGGTAAGTACTCATCACAAGTATAGAAATCATGAAATAACATTCCCATCTGCTCAGGTGGAAGAGGCCATTGCTTTGGGGAATCAAAACCCGCCTTTCAGCTGATGATTTCATGGACATATCCATATTCAAAGAGTACACTGGGCCCTATTTTTGGTAAAGGACAACTACGATGAGCTTTGTAAATACTCATAATAAAGAATAATGCCAAAAAAATTGAAGCTTTTTTGCAACGGAACTTAACTGATAGTAAAAGACAAGTTAGGATTTCGTAATAAACAAATACATTTCTCCGATACCACTATCTGAAACTCACAGCTTATTTTCAATCTCCGAAGAGGCCCTCAAACAACTGGGGATCGCTGACATGGCCAAATCGATTTAGAAGATTGTACCGCTTCTTGGAGTCGCTTCGCAGGCAGATGGGCGAAACGAATCTTAGTCGGGACGGGCGTCCCTGCTCCCAGCTGGGCAGCAAATCCTCGACGTCCAGCAGGGTCTCCTGTCGCCGTCCCCAGAAGTCCACGTAGGCCAGCTTGACCAGATCCTGCTGCTCATTCACGTAGACGAAGCCAACGAGATTCGAGGCCGCGTAGCTGGCGAGTGTGAGGGTGACCAGACCGGAGATGCCCACGGCGCCGTAAATGGCCAGGGCATCCGTGCTTAGCTGTCCGGCGCTCCCCAGGGCAAAGACAATAGGCGTTCCGGCTGCTGTGAGTGCCGCCTGGTAGACCTTTAGCCTACTGAATGCGGCCACGATCCTTATGGCCGGCAGACTGTAGACGGTCCGCCACTCGGTGAATCCGGCGTGGTCGTGGGCCGCACTTTTGTCGCACTTTTTCGCAGACTCCGTGGAGAGGGGTCGTCCATGCACCGGCTGAGTGGTAGCAATAGACACGCAGCTCCTCCATGGCAATCCTGCCGGTCTGATCCTGCACAGCAGCTCCAGCACTGAAAAAACCAATTCCCGACTTAATACATGGGGCAATCGTGGTTTGCCGATGCTTACTCAACTCACTTTCATTTGTGTTTTGCTTTTGCAGCTGTTAGGCCCTTTTTACAAAAAGTCAGCTGATTATCGATGTGCAAAAACCTATCGATAGACCTGCTCCGCCAATGCTGCCCGTCCGCGAAAGGCGACCGGCTGTTACTTTTTGAAAACTGGCGCGCTCCCGGATATTACGTAAGGACCCAGTGTATAAATATAAATATAGCAGAGCCAGATGATTTCCCGGCGAGCGAGCAGAGAGTGATCAATAAATAAATCACTTATACTAGGTCTCAGTCAACATTCAGATTTCGCAGCCTCTTAACGCGGTCCCCTGCTGCTTTTTTAATCCACCTCGTCTTTTATAATTGCAAAGTATGTGCATATATCCAAAATAAAAACAAGCATTAGGGGTGCCGAAGTTGTTTTTTAGATTTTGCAGACAGGCTTTCGTCGAAAATTGTATGTTATCCATTGATTTGTGTTTATTTGGTTTCTTTTCGCGGTCAAGCCTCAGCCAAAACATTTATTTTTAGTGCTTTCGCTATGCATTGGATTCGGAAATAGTTTTTTCGCACACAAAGTACACTAGTTTACAATGTTTTTTGAAATGCGAATAATTCAAGGTTTGAGAGATAAGGAGGAGGCCTTGAGTTAAGGGCCACTAAAGTGATTTATTTAATAATGGTATTGGCAATAAAAACTCGAATAAGCCCTACAAAGACAGAATTTTCTATGATCAAGTTTAGTACTAGGTACTACTGATACAAAATTTTCATTACACTTATATTAATCCAAAGCAATACGCCTGATTACATTTAAGTGATTACATTTAACTTTTGGCAATATTTCGTTATTGAACTGGCAAAGGAGCTCTAGTACACAAAGGGTTCTTATAAATTCTTACTGGTATACTGCGTCTAAATAGTTTGTTTATCCAATTTAAAAAAAGTACAGAGGTACGATTCTTTTTTCAAATGTTGATATCACGAATATTTCTTTAATATACCAATTTGAGATATCCGAGGGTACCTACACTATAGCGGTCAATATCTGATCCGATTTTCCGATTATTTCGTTCACATAACAAAGGACATGTCGACGGCAGCTTTGGGGGTAAGTGCTCTTTTTATGGTGGGATGCTGTGCGATCGCCCAGATTGCTCGAGTTGTCAGCCGCCGAGTGGTGACCCGTGAGGGGCTGGTTCCGATCCTGATCAATGAGGCAATCGCCGCTGCCGAGCTATGCGCCTGCTGCTTTGAACTGATCATTGGTAAGTACATTTTTTAAGATCTTTTTAAAAATCAAATCAAATCTAGGATGTTAAAAAAATATTCAAATGAACTCCCAAAAATATTTGGCGACACGTGCAAACTACTTTTAATGGATTATAGTATCCCAGAGATCCAAAAGATTTCCCCAATGTCGAAACCGTCCTTTCGATACGATTTAAGCATGCCGCAAAAACCCCAAGAGAGTGTCAATCCCAAGAAAGGCATTGATATATGTAAGTTGTAGGACCTTAAAGCTGACATTCTGAAATCTCGTTCTCAGTGGCCGACAACTTCGGAGTGTCTATGTACGCCGTCTGCCTGTTCCTGCTGACCATCTGGTGGGGTCGCGTATGGGGCGACGCCTCCGCCTGCCCGTACACCCACATGGAGGACGTGGTCGAGGGTCGCACCAGCTTCAAGGAGATGGCCCTGCGCAGTTGGGCCGAGCTGATGGGCGGCTGCTGTGTGTACCGGGTGGTGCAGCTCTTCTGGTGGCTGGAGCTGGCCGAGACTCACCGCGGACGGGCCTTTGAGGCCTGCAACGCCGACTTGCAGGTCAGCCCATATTTGGGCGCGGTCATCGAGGGCGTGGCCACGTTACTCTGCCGCCTGGCCTCGAAGACGATCAGCGAAAAGGAGCCGCGGTTCGGGAGCTACATTGATTCCTTCATTGGCACCAGTTTGGTGGTCGCAGGTGAGTGGCGTAGCGCTTCTCCGATCCGATCCGCCTGCCCTATGCTGGACTCTTAAGTAGTTTATGCCTTTAACTATGTCCTGCTTGCAGCCTTCAACTTCTCCGGCGGATACTTCAATCCCGTACTGGCCACGGCCCTCAAATGGGGCTGTCGCGGACACAGCCACCTGGAACACATCATCGTTTACTGGATTGGCGCATGTGCCGGTGCCGTGCTCTCCATTCCGGTTTTCAGGATCCCCGCAGTGCGCCGCATTCTACTCGGCGAAGAGGCGGGCTCGAAGTCGAAACAGGAATAAGACCATTGGGAAGCTTTTGTATCTGTCAATGCCTGGAAAGATGAAGAGCTCTGGGCATGTCTGCTCGGGAGCAAAGTGTTACCCTGTTTGTCCCATAGTCATGGGCTCCGAAAGATACCCGCTCACCCACAGGCCTTAGAAGACTTATTTAAAACACACTTCTGAGCGTGGTTCAAATCTGAAATACTTAGTCATATTAGTATATTATGTTGAGGCTAAATTTGTTAGAAGGTTTGATGGAATTGAGTCGGAAATAAATTTAGTTAAATTTTTAAGTATTCTTCATGTACTTCAAATGATTTAGACGACAAAGGCCGATTTCGGCCAAGTATTTTTATAGTATGTTGGGACCTGGCGTGCACATTCTTGCTTTCAGAAGAAATAAAGCTAGGACCCGTCTAGCGCCTACATTTTTGGAAATGTACATGCCCCTGGTTTTTGGTAGTCGATGGCATCGACTGCAGCGTTCTCTCTTGTTTTAATTTTGTTCAATAAAAATTGATAAAATTATAAAAAAAGAAAAGGTCCAAAGGGACCTGAGTGACTTGATTGATTTGGGTTTTTAGAAATTTGCCAGTTAAGTTAAGTTAAGTTAAAAAAACAAATATAAATATTTTTATTTTTATTTTCAAGAAAAATATTTTTGATTGAGGCTCAAAACTTCCTGATTTTAAATAAAAGCAAAAAGTGTCCCAATATGCATATGCAACACTTTGTCTTTAAAGAAAACTTTTCCTGCTGTGTGTTATTAGCTTCCTTTAGTTGTAAATAAAACTCTTTGAAGTTTCACGAAAGAAATTAAATAAATATAAAAAGAAACTATGTATCAACATATATGAAATTTTTCTTAGTCGATGTGTTTTCTTTCAGTATGTGTTCGGCAAACAAAACTTAAAGAGTTCAATTACACAAGTATACCCTAACAACTGAATTTGTTAAATATGTAGAACAATAAGTATTACACTGATCTCACTGCCCTTTGGAAAAGGTTTCATCGCATACTATTTGCTTTGACAGCATTTCAGTTTACTTCACAATCGATCAGGCCGGTCGCACGCCTACAAATTGCAATCCTAGTACAACCTAAAATTCCTCAAAATGGGTCTTGTGGACAAGTTTCTTAATTGCATTGACCTAAAGTACGGTGTCATTATAGTTGGGTTCGTGGATATAATCTTGAGTATGCTTTGCGGAATGTATTTGCCATGTAAGTACGGTAAACGGTATTATAACATTTAGTAAACAATCGCTATTTTAAAGGGATACGGCGTAAAGGCTATTACGATCAACGAATCCTTACCGAAGCGCCAGTTACCTTCAGATTCCTTTCGTGGCATGAGTATAGATTCTATACGGGGGTTGACTTTTACTTCAATAGATTCGGCTATGCGATGTATATATTCTGTTTGGTTGTACTCATTCTCCATATTGGCGCCTGTATACTTATCATAACTTCCGCACTTTCGGTAAGTCCATACAGGCCGGAAGACTGTCTTTCTTAAGTCTTTAACATTTTTAGGAGCAAAAATGGATGTCTGCTCCCTACATAGCCACTGCCCTAATGCGCTTCGTTGTGTTACTCCTTATTCTGACTTGGATAGTTGCCAAGTCGTTTGACTGTACCACGAGTTTTTGGATGATAGGTCTAAGTCTGTGTAAGTTCCTTGACTCTATGTTAAAGATCAAATTTTAATACCCGTTACTCGTACAGTAAAAATGTATATTTAAATTGTTGAAAAGTATATTTGTACTGTACATTGTACAGGTAGAAGGAAGCTTATTTGACTCTAATGTTTATATATTATTGGTCAAGATCACTAGCCACCGAGTCGTTCAAGCCATTTTCGTCTGTACGCTGTGATCTTGAAAACTACAAGAGCTAGAAAGTTCAGGCTCTACATTGAACTTTCTAAGCTTTTGATTTAAAGCAAGTTTGTTATTATAACGTGTCATGCTCACTATAGCGCTAAAATATGTCCACAACTTTTAAGACTACACCCAAAACAATATATATCCTGAAAAAATCGCCCTTTTGTCTTCCAGAAAAGCTTGTCATAGATTTAGAAGGATTAGGAGTATTTTTTTTAATTTTAGGTTTGTTTTACTAAATTTGTGGATAATACATTTGTTTAAATCAGATTTGTTAAACCAGATTATGACATAACAAATATTTCTCTTTTTCGAAAAACATTTATATTTTGTTGAAAAAAATATTTTGGTTAGTCTTAGTTACATTTTAGGATAAAGTAACAATTTTTAGAATAGGTGATGCTTAATTTTATTGCGTAAGCCTTCCTGTTTTCCTTTTTAATTTTAGAAGAGCTTTCTTGATTAAATATACATTTTCTGGACTTAAGAAAAAGATTTATTTTAATTAGAAAACAAAATCTCTTCTTTCACTTTTTTTGAGTATCGGGTATCTGATAGTCGAGGTATTTGACTATAGCGATCTTTAGCTCCTAATACTTTCTTACAGTTTCAGCTACTTACTTTTGGCTAACCGTGGTTTCGTGGTATAGCCCGCCGAACGTAGAATAAAATTATTAACCGGAGTTATTTAAAATTATAAGTATTTACCCCACTGTAAATCCTACAAGGCAGAAAATTAAATGGCTGCTCCCTAAATTGTCACTGTCGCCAAGCGGTTCGATGTGCTGCTCCTTACTTTGACCAATCGTTTGATTTCGCCACCAGTCTTTAGTTGACTGGTTACAGTACTCGTAAGTAATTTAACTTCACATTTTAAGAATCAATATCAGTAAATACTGTTCAATTTTTCTTAAATTCCAGCCTCTAGCATTTGGTTATCCCTACTTTTGTGACGCAGCCGGCTGATCGAAAACTGTAATAATCGGACGTTTTAAAATTGTCCAGTACCCCTTCAAACACACTTCAAAATCAAACATTCAAAATTCAACGCACTTGAAAATCAAACAATAAATCCAGCACTCTCTCCGATCACACAAAATGGGTATTCCTGTTATGAAGCGCTGCTGCTGCCTTGAGCTTAAATGGGGAGCTCTTATTGCCGCACTTGGGGACTGGGCCTTGACAGGCGCAGTTGTTGGCATGACCAGTTGTAAGTCCTACTTCTTAACTTACTTACTTAAGACGTGTCCTAAACCTCTTTTTACAGATCTCCGTCTTATTATTTGGTATGTCGCCATCCTTATTCATGTTGCCCATATAGTTGGCTGCATTTTGGTTGTAGTTAGCGTGTTTGTGGTAAGTAGCAGCGACTTCTAACAACCAATAGTTTAATGTGCTTTTCAACCCCTTTTTAGCCAAATAAGAAATTTGTTATGGTGTACCTAATAACTGGCATATTTCGTATACTTTTTGACATAGCCTTCCTAATATATTGCTGCGTACTGCTCTTTAATGCCCTCGTTGTAGCCATAATTGTAACAATTATTGGCATCCGTAAGTATTTTTATATTTTAAATATGTACGCTAAAATTCTTTGATTTAACTCGGATTCTTCTTAAATTTGTAATCTTGTAAAATAGAATATAAACATTTAATCTTCAGGAATAGTCCAGAACAAAGGCGTATTTCCCAAAAACCGCGAGTTTCGTGTTTTGCTATAAAAATAAATAACTTTTTTTCGATTTACTTCGAAAAAGTTGTCTCATTCGAGTAAACTAACTATTTAGAGCGGGGCAGACCCCACAACTATTGAGACGCGAATTCCTAAGCAATCGCGGTGCATCGCTGGCGTGGGGTTGGCACACTCTCGAACTTAAACATTTGTAATATTTTGATAAAGTAAGAAAAAGTGAATGTGTTTTTAAAGGAAATGGCAAAAACCCTTTTTGATTTTTATAGGAAAACCCGAAATGTTGAAATTTAAATACACGGCTGGTTGCCACTTTATTTATTTATGAAAATTTCTAATAAAACGCGCGAATAATTTGTTTTCATATTTCGGGATTGCGCACCCTGTACTAGAGTAAATTATTAAAATAATGCTAACATTGTGTTTATTGTGACATTCAGTTGTCGCGATCTACTGCTGGTACGTCATCTTCTCGTGGTTCAAGAAACTTGGAGGTTCTGCCCCAGGAGATATTTAGACTGACGCGCGCCACTCCAACCATTTAAATAATAGTTCAAGACCAATCTGACCAAATTTATGTGCAGTTAAATCTGTAATTATACAAGGAAACCCACGAGTACTGTCCCTAATTTGGAAGGCACTCTTGTCTACATATATTACAAGCTCAAACAGAACAAGGTGTGCTCCTAAAAATGCTGCTGCCGTGATCTAAGATGAGGACCTGATTAGCATATTGCATATATTGTTAAAGCGATTGTAATTATTTTTCATCAAAAGAAAATGTACGTACTGTTACTATCAGACATGAAACATAGCTAATATTTAATCTTACAGGCCGGTCACCATTGTTACATATGTCGCCTATTTAGTCGCCTGCGTTTTGGTTATCTTTTCAGATAGAGTGGTAAGTAATACTTTAATAACCAACTTTTAAAAAATTAATTTTTTTTGTAAGCTACAGGAGGCGCGATTTACCCCTGGCTCGTTGGCTATTCATGGTTCAAGATGCTTGGAAGGTCATCTTGAGTCGAATCGCCTAAAAGCCCATACTTTGGTGCAGCTTAATAATTTGGTTTTCTTGTTGGCTCTAAACTTAATTGTATTCGAAATAAATTCAAAATTTAAACTTAGAATTAGAAATTTACTTAAATCGGTTGGTTAGCAGCACCCGCCGGCATTTCCGCAGTTGCTGGTCGTCGTCGGCGACAGCGTCGCTTTACTCTCAAAATAACCTCGTCTTTTATTTGCTCATACTGGTAATCAGTGTGGCCCAGAGAACAGCGTTTGGTAACTGTTGAGGTGTCGTCACCACCAAAACTATTTGCCAAAGTTTCGTCGATGGTGAAATCCAGCCTGGAAACCGGCGGTACCTCCGTCGGACTGTCCATGTTGACTTTTCTCTTTTTCAGAGGAGTTTTCTCGGTGGCAAGCTTTTCCGGTGTCGCTGTCGGCGATATCTTCTTTGATTTGGTCTTGGACTTTAGCGGACTTTGCTGAATGGGAGACCGGGTGAGAATCGTAACAAGGTTTTGTTTGGGCGTCTGGAGGGCTCTATTCGATGTTGAAGTCACTACTGTTTCGTCTGGTGACTGCTGGTGCAATTGTTCCAATGCCATCTCAATGGCATCTTCTTCAATACTCAGGTTTGGATAGCTGGGATCCACTGTGTTTGGCGCATCTTTCTCGCTCGTCAGCAAGTCCATGGCAGCTTCAAGAATAACCTCGTCGTTTTCATCGTTGTGGTCCAGCTTCGTCGAGTCGGGTTTAGCGTATAAGACATCGGCCGTCTTCATGGGAGTATCATCCGCGTAGCTGGTACATATTGGATCTCTGCGTTCCTGAGGCGTTACGGAGACTAATACAATATTCTGATCACTTGATGCAGAATTTGTTATTGCTGTTGGTGTTTGGCATTGACTGTCGACCTTAACAGCAATATGGTCGATATCGGCCATCTCCGGAAGACGAATATCTTCGATGATCCGTATTCCGATGTCGGATTTGTTCAAGCGGGTTAGTTCAGACGGCGTTTGAATTTCTTTCGCGGGCCAGGCATTTGAATTTTGTTTAACCAGAGAGTCCCTTTCGGCATGGACTGTGGCAGCTTTTGTTAATTCAATTTGGTCTCTTCCCTTTTGGGATTTGTCTGTTTTAACGTCCATGGCTTTCGATGGCTCTTTTGTTAGCTCTTCACCTTCAAGCTGCAGCACTTCTATTGTGGAATGTTGAGGTGAAATGCTTTTTATTTTTCCATCAAGTTGAGACACTTTTGGATCTAATTTAGTGGAAGTCTTCTTCAGTTTATCGTGTGTCGTGTCTTCTAAATGAAAATCACTGTTTTCGACAATCATTGTCTCCATTTTGGCCAACTCGATTTGATCTTGGACAAAATTCAAGGATTCCGTCTGAGATATGAGGTGCAAGCCCGGGATAATTTCACGCTTTAGTTGACTGACTTCAGAGAAGAATCCACCTGCAGGTTGAGGATCCTTCGTATGTTCCTTTATGTCGAATGAGCAGCTTGATTTGAATTCTGAGGTAATATCGGTTTGCTTAGGAACGCCTTTCCTTGACGGTTGCAGGTTAGTGGCAGTTTTGGGCAACTCAAGGTGGGGGCTGTCGCCCCGCTGGACTTTAATTTTGTCGTAGAATGGGGCATTCATGCCTTGGCAATTTTCTTCTGGCATCTTGGTTCTGCAACAAAAGTCAGATGCTGCTATCAACAAACGTAATTTATGTCCTTTTGTTTCACTGACCTGGGCGACTGGGATCGGCTTCGCCGGCCAACATGTCGGGAACTGATCTCTCGACTCCGGTGCTGATCTCGCCTGCCGCTATGTCTTGGACTTCGGCTGCGGCTGTGGCGTCGATCTCTCGATTTGTGGCGGTTCTCTGGACGACGAGGGTTTGTGCTAGATCTCCGTTCGGTGATCTTGGGTTGTCCCTGCTTGGGAGAGCTACTTCCGCCGTCCGATTTCTTGACGTCTTCTTTTTTGCTTGCCTTCTTAATGTCATTTTTCGAGTTCGCCTTGGCGTCTTCTTTTGGGACCGTTTTGAATGGATTTCTTTCCGTTTCCGGATCCTTTTTGGCCAAAGCCCTCCATTGTGTTTCTTTCAAGCGCTTACTATCATGGTCTCTTTCTCCTGGTTCTTCGACGTCTCGCACCCGCTTCCGCCGGAAGCATAAGTCGTCCTTCCTATAAAAAAGTAAGGTGTTAGTTGTGAAGCCCTGAAAACGAAATTGGTAACTGACTCCTTTCTCAGCTGGGCAATCAGGGCCTCCTTTCTCTTCACCTCCGCCTTGGCCGTGTTCAGCAGATTCTGCAGGTTAACCTCCATGGCCTTAATCTTCTTTCCAAGCGCCTTGTTCTCAGTCTTCAGAGCCTGGATTTCGGCCTGCGCCTTTTCGTGTTTGTCTTCCCATGCCAGCAGCTCCTTGGTTTTCTGGAATATAGTAATACAGTAATCGGACGCCGTCTCAATAGATCTAACTGCGTGGACCTACATGGTCCTCGGCTTTCTGGAAGTCGTCCAAATCGTCGTAAATGTCCAGATCAAGAGATCTGTCTTTTTCCTCAGGCATGGTGGAATACTGAGGCTCGTCCAAATCGTCGTAGATGTCCAAATCCAGAGATCTATTCTTTTTACCAGGCTCTGTCCAGCCTTTGGCTGTGACATCGGGCAACTGATGATCCCTCAGTTCCAGCAATTCGTCCAGAGCCTCGGAAAGCACCAGTTCCTCGGGGGATTTCGTGGCAAAAACATTATCCTCTAAGAGGTCGCCACTTCCATTAGTTTTACGATTGGCCATCGCTTTCTGTTCGCGACCCTTAACACATAATTTTGGAATTTAGTCATGTACAGTGTTCATTGTACCGAAGCTTTTCAACAGACTCACCACTGCGCTTAAATGATCTGCCATAAACTAAGTTAATATATAAACACCAGCCACCAGTTGAAAAGCAAATAGCGATGCGCAAAAGAAATAAGGAATGGGACGATAAGTCCCATGGAGAATAATCGATGACGGAAGGGTCATTTTCCCTTTCTCACGACAGTTATATTTAAAAGAATAAGACAGACGATCTTACAAGAAGAAAGAAGCCTCTTTACAACACCGGATCTTTAAATTTTATGTGGGCAGGAATTTTGTGTACAATGCTATAACTGAACGATACCATTTTCATTTCCATTTTTACACAATCAGCTGTTACTTTTGGCGCGAATACCGACCTTACCGATTGGACCAATTCGCCAATTCGATTACTGATGGCAGGAGGGAATTATACCCTGATCCCACTGCCACAATTTTAAGTTTTGAATTAAAAACTTGAAATTGAAGATTTGTATCCCCCTCAATTATTAAAACAAGTTAATTTGTAAATATTTGTGAACGTAAGACAAGATTCTTTGTGATTAATCCCAGCTCCTTTCTAGCTATGAAACTAATCTAGTACACATTCTTTAGTACTCAATTTTTATTTATTACAGAGACTAGGCTGCCTCACAAACACAAAAAAACACGAAAAAACAGCTAACGATGGCAGACATTCCGGAAAAAAGTGTATACTACAAAAGGGAAAGACGAAAATTCGCGCTGATCACATATCTTCTGACCGCGATATTTTTGATCGTTGCGCTGTTACAATGGGTTCTTTTTTCCTTTGTGTACGTATATTCCGGGTCCTTCCATTCGCCCTCTTCTTACCTTCTATAGATTTTCAGAGGCATATTAAGATTATTTTTTACTTTACATTATTGGGTGAGCTGCATTTTCTTTGGATTGGGCCTTGTACTCCTAGTATTTTTCATATTCTTCGAGGCATTGCGTTTCAATAAAACGGTAAATTGGTTGTTTGCTGTGCTAATAGTAAGTTCGAAATTCGATTCGTAAAGCTAGTTTAAAAGTGTATTTTGTTTTTCAGTTCGAATGCATCGTTTTGGGAATCGCACCGTTGGTTGCTCGCCACTACAGGTATCAATTCCTATTTAGCTTTCTCATATGGACCCTGGCTTTGGCCATCTTTATTCTGTGCGGTTCCTTCCTACCGGTAAGCAGGTTTACTGACACACTCCAACTTAATTATTTTAAACCGAAAGATCGCCTGAACTCGTTTAAAACTTGTCGAGTTTTGAAAGTTGTATACGTTTTTATCCCTAAGCTTGATCTGACTTTGGATGTCGTGGTCTTATTTGTCCTCGCTGTGGTGTCTATTATTGGAGCCATATACTTTGTGATGCTTTACATCGTCGCTAACGTCCCCTATTCATTTATCATTGCTCGTGCCTTCATCGTCATCAGCATACTAATGGTTGGTACAAGAGTTACATATGTCGATCCTTTATAAATATTTTCTTTACAGTTCGTGATGTATCACGCGCAGATAATTAACGGTGGAAGGTTTGCCGAAATGCGCACCAAGGACTATTTCCTGGCAGCAATTATATTGTTTCTCGATTTCCTGCTCCTCTTCCTTTTCTCGTTCCAAATGGCGCCAAAATGGTCTGATTTGTGTGACAGCGAATGGAAAAACAATTTGGTGCTGTTCAAAGAAACAACTACGTCCCGTCCCATTCTTTGGTGGCATACGTGGACGTGGTCAACGGAGGGTAAGTACTCGGAAGCTCTCCTAATATTCTTAAAAACAATCAAACTTTCAAAAGGAAAGCGTTAGAATAGACCTAAGTATTTTTATAAAAAAAAGGACCAAATTTGTTCTGTATAAAATTAAGTACCTGCACACCTGTACATTTTAAATTAGTTTCAGTCTTGGATGTTGTATGGAAAACGGGCAATTATTAAAATACTACTAACTGTATACATTTCTGTGCTCCCCGATACTTTAAAGATTCCGCCTTGAAACACAGCACTGAAGAATATGCCCCCTAACGCCGTTATCCAACACTACCGCCAGTTGGCGCCAAACACACAGCTGCCAGCTGATTTCGTATCGCGTTCCTACCGGTGAAGAAACTTTAATTGGCACAGAGCTGACCTAAACAAATAAATAAACTCGGCACGGCGACTCCAAGAAGCTACGACAACGAGGCGCAGTCAGTTTGATAGATAGCCAGCAATGGATCCCACCATTTCCGTGTCCAAGGTGAGTGGGATAGTTTTTAAAGCCGCTTGGGTTCACCATGTATTGCTTGCTTCCCAGGGATGTTTTGTCTACAAAAATGGCGCTACGAGAGCCGGCAAGAAGGCGGCCGGCAAGCGGAAGCGCCCTGCTCCGGGATCGAGTAGCCTCTTGAGCCAGGATGTGGTGCAGCAGCCCTTCTATGCGGAATACCGCAACGCCTGGAACCAGGTGAACGACCACATTGCCGATCTGCAGCAGCGCAGCTATGCCCGCACTCTGGAGCAGCTGGTTGACTTTGTGGTTGACCAAGGGCTGTGCACCACTATGGACGAGGTACTTCCCACCGCCGCCTTGCTAACCGGCATCAATCAGCCGGATCACCTTAGCCAGTTCACGGCGCTCACCCAAAGACTCCATGCCCAGCGGGCTGCAAGGGTCTGTGTCCTACAGTCGCGGGATTGCGCCACCCTCAAGGCTGCCGTAGAGTCCTTGGTCTTCGGGCTCGTAGAAGACGATGCGGAGGCTGAGAACGTCGATGAGGAGGATGAGGACGTGGCGGAACGGGATCGCAAGCGTCTGCGTCGTTCGCAGTGCACCATTAAGCAGCTCAAGTCCTGGTATTCCAACAATTTTGACTCGGAGCGAAAGCGCCGTCAGCTGGTAGTCATCTTGCCCGATTTTGAGTGCTTCGGCGCCAGCGTCCTCCAGGATCTCATCCTGATCTTAAGTGCCCACTGCGGGGCACTGCCGTTCGTCCTGGTCCTGGGAGTTGCCACGGCCATGACGGCGGTGCACGGTACTCTGCCCTACCACGTCAGCAGCAAGATTCGCCTGCGGGTCTTCCAGACTCAGGCTGCCCCCATGGGCCTAAACGAGGTAAGTTGGTTGCTACTCGTCAAAAACGATTTTTGGAACTGAGCATTGGCAGTCCTCTAATACACAGATAATAGTTGTAGGATGTACGTTTATTTTCATTTTAGTTAGCAGAGTAAAGGCATCAATGTAAAGAGTTCATACAAATTTTGGTAGACTATGCTTCGAAAAAGTCTATATAGTTCACCGTTCCCAACGATAGCCCATGTTATTTAATTTCAACCCGTTTTCTGAACAACTTCTAGGTGCTGGATAGAGTTTTGCTGTCGCCCAAGTACGCTTTTCACCTCTCGGGAAAGACCTTCAAATTCCTGACCCACATCTTCCTGTATTACGACTTCTCCATCCACGGTTTCATTCAGGGCTTCAAGTACTGCCTGATGGAACACTTCTTTGGTGGGAATGCGTATGCGCTCTGCACCGATTACAGCAAAGCCTTGGGGTGCATTAAGCAGCTGACCCACGAGGACATAGAGACCATCCGACGGCTACCCTCGTTTCGGCCGTATGTCGAGCAGATCAATGATTGCAAGCGCATCATAGCCGTGCTTACCGACGACGACTACCTAAAGAAGAAGCTGCCGCAGCTGCTGCGCGACTGCCTGCTCCACTTCCTGCTTTTTCGCAGCTCGCTGGAGTTCCTCACGGAACTGGTGGGGGATCTTCCGCGCTGCCCTCTGGGAAAGCTGCGTCGTGAGTTGTATGTAAACTGCCTTAACCGACCGACCATCACAACGCCGGAGTACAAGGAGTGCCTGCAGATGCTAAGTTTTTTGTCAAAGGAAGAGTTTGTGGCCAAGGCAAACCGCTGCCTGGACAGAACCGAGCAATTCCTTGCTGAAGAGATAGCCCCCCTAGAACTTGGCGAGGCCTGCATCGCTGTTTTGCGACCACAGCTGGAAACTATACGCCAATCAGTGGCCGATGTGGTAAGGGCAACCATGGCGACGATTACAACGACATCGCCCGACGAGGCACGTCCGGCCACAGATCATCTGACTCAAGTGGCTTCTCGTCAGGAGCTCAAGGAACAGCTGTTGCAGCGTAGCAAGGAGGACAAGCACCGGCATCAGCAGAATACTCCTACCACTCAGTTCGCTCGGGCTGTGCAGAAAACCCTACATCTCATCGAGACACTTTTCGTCCAGGACCATCTCCGCCCGCTGCAGGATGCACCTCCTATCCACGAACTGTTCGTGTTTAGCGACATTGCCACCGTGCGCCGAAACATAATCGGAGCCCCTCGGGCGGCGCTGCACACTGCCCTGAACAATCCGCACTTTTACATGCAGTGCAAGTGCTGCGAGCTTCAAGATCAGTCACAGCTGGTCGGCACTCTACCCGATCTCTCCGTGGTATACAAGCTGCACCTGGAGTGCGGACGAATGATAAATCTCTTCGACTGGCTGCAGGCCTTCCGATCTGTGGTGAGTGGCAGCGACAACGAGGATGCGGCCCAGGAGCAAATCGATCCACAGATCCAGTGAGTACTACATCTAGATTCATTTTGTAATAGCTATTGATTATCATTTCCGTTTCATCCCAAATTAGAGCCCGCTTCACACGAGCCGTAGCCGAATTGCAGTTTCTAGGTTACATAAAGATGTCGAAGCGCAAGACGGATCATGCCACCCGATTAACCTGGTAGCTCGAGATATGAAGAACCCAACTCCTTTAGTGAATGTTATTTTTCTATTTATTGGGGAACATGTGTGGGACGTAATAAATAAATACAAGATCAATCGAGTTGTCTATTCTGTTCAAAATGCATAGTGTTTTCGCGAGTGAGCCGTATCTGTAAATTTTTAAGTTAAGACCTGCAGCTAGCGAGCCAAGCGCGCTGAAATATCAATTACCAGTGTTCCCGACTAGCGGTTACCGTTCCCTGCTCACATCAGTTTTAGTGTCTCGATGGCGGCAGCGATGCGTTCGATCTCTGCCTGCGATTCGGAGAGCTTCGTCTCGTTGGCCTCCCTCACATCGATAGGAACCTTTGTGGCGTAGTCGGCGGCCTGGATTGCCTGAGTGAGCTTGCCCACCGTCTGCACTAGCTGGTCGCTCTTCTTCTGCAGCTTGGCAATCTCCTTGTCCGCCTCCACGAGTCCCTTGAGCAGCAGGTGCACTTCGCACTGCCCTGTCACAGTCAGGATGGCGCAGCCCGGTGGTGCTGGGCTGTCGAAAACCACCTTGGAGCAGTAGGAGATTGTGGCCAGATCGCTGGCGTAGCGTTTGAGTGTTTCACTGGGTACCGTATCTGTGCAAACTATGTAAACCTCTGTCTTAACCTTGTTCGGCAGATTGTAATCGGATCGGGCGGAGCGGATGATGCGCGCAGCCTTCTGTACAAATTCTACGTCCGTCTCAATTTTTGTGCTTCGCCAAGATATATTACCTAGGATGAGAACAGAAGTTGTAAGTGGTATTTTGTATGGCCTTTAAAACGCAGATGATAGTCTTACTTGGATAGCTGGCCACACAAATGCTGGGCGCGGGATTGGCCCTCGGCAGCCGCTGGTAAAGTTCCTCCGTGATGAAAGGCATAAACGGAGAGAGCAGGCGCAGACCAAAATCTAGGCACACATAAAGGGTGCGCCTGGCGGCGGCTTGCTGCTTCTCGCTGCCGCTCTGGAAGATCGGCTTCAGACACTCCAAGTACACGTCACACAGGTCGTAGAGCCAGAATGCGTAGCAAGCGCTTGTAGCAGCTGCAAAATCATATGTCTCGAAGCCGGAGTTGCATGTTTCGATGGCCGATGCCAGTCGCGACAGAATCCAAGCATCCATCTGGTTGATCGCGTCAGACGCACTGAGTTCTGTGTCGAACTTCTCAGAGCCGGTGAAATATAGCAGGGCGAACTTTGTGGCGTTCCACAGTTTGTTGCAGAAGAAGCGATATCCCTGGACGCGGTTAATGTCCAGGTTTATGTCGCGCGCCTGCGTAATGTAGGCGCACAGGGCGAACCGAAGGGCATCCGAACCACACTCGGGAATTCCCTGCGGGTAGTCCTGCTTTTGCCCAGCCTTGGCCTTTTCGATCTCGCGAGGATCCAGGTTGGAGCCTACAAGTTGGGCATTGAGCCCCTCCAGGGTAATGCCACAAATGACGTCCATCGGGTCGATAACATTTCCCAGGGACTTGGACATTTTGCGACCATGCGCGTCCCTCACCATTGGGTGCAGATAGACTTCCTTGAACGGCAACTTGCCCAGCAGCTTCTGGCCAAAGAACACCATGCGAGCCACCCAGAAGAAGAGAATGTCATGACCCGTCTCCAACAGCGATGTGGGATAGAAGGTCTCCAGATCCTTGGTTTTGTCTGGCCAGCCAAATACGGAGAAGGGAAAGATGCCCGAGCTGAACCACGTGTCCAGGACATCTTCGTCTTGCTTGAGTACGATCTTGCTGGCGTCCACTCCGAACCGTTCGGCTGCCTTGTCCAGAGCTTCTGCCTCGCTGCGGGCTACGATCCAGTACTGCTCATCATCGTTCTAAAAGGGAAGACAAGTACAACCTTCTAAGTAAATCTACATCAGAATTGATCATAGAAATCATCGAATCTCAATCTTAAAGCGCTACTTTGTACGCACCACTCTTCCTTGTTCAGACTGAGAAAGCGAACAGTACATTTACACAAAGGTATTACTCAGAGATAAAACCAGGTCCCTATGCGAATAACTTACCGTTGCCGTTTTGATTGAGGGGTCGCTGAAGCTGACATGGTAGGCCGGAATTCGGTGGCCCCACCACAGCTGCCTCGACACACACCAGTCTCGGATACCGTCCATCCAGTGGTACCACGTCTTAGTGTGGTGCTCCGGAATGATCTTCAGCTCGCCGGAGCGCACGGCCTCCGTGGCTGAGGCGGCCATGTCAGAGCAGCTAACATACCACTGGGGCTTGATCAGGGGCTCCACAACATCCTTGGAGCGGCTACAGATGGGCACCACCATTGGATTGTTCAGAGTTTCGCGGTAGAGGTTCAAGGCCTTCAGCTTTTCGAGGATCTTCTTGCGGCACTCGAATCGCTTCATGCCTGTGAACTCGCCGTAGTCTCCGATAATAAAACCGTCGTCGTTAAAAATGGTAATGAAGGGCAGGTTGCAGCGCTTGCCAACCTCGTAGTCGTTAGGGTCGTGGGCCGGAGTGATCTTAACGGCTCCCGTTCCGAAGGCAATGTCCACGAATTCGTCGCATACGATCGGCAGGCGTCGCGTGGAAAAGGGATGGATTACGAACTTGCCGTGCAGGTGCTTGTACCGCTCGTCCTGGGGATGCACAGCCACAGCCGTATCGCCCAGCATCGTCTCAATACGAGTGGTGGCTACAATGATCTCTTCGTCACTGCCCTCCACCTTGTATGCGAACTTAATCAGTACACCGAACTCCACCTTGTCCTCGTATCCGGGAATAGACAGGAAAGTACGACCTGGGATATCAATTTTGTCCACCTCGATGTCCGATATGGCCGAGCGCAGCGTGCACGACCAATTGACCAGCCGGGAGCTGCGGTAGATGCTGCCCTCCTCGTGCAATCGGACGAAAGCCTCGGTCACGGCGCGGCATAGCTTTGGGTCCATGGTGAAGGCCACTCGCGACCAGTCGTAGGAGGAGCCCAGGCTCTTCAGCTGGTCATAGATGCGGCCGCCCTTTTCCTGGCGCCAGTCCCAGATGCGCTCGATAAACTTTTCGCGTCCGAGGTCGTGCCGAGAGAGCTTCTCTTCGCGCCACAGCAGCTTCTCCACGACCACCTGAGTGGCGATACCAGCGTGATCGCAGCCAGGCACCCATAGGGTGGTCCGTCCCTTCATGCGGTGGTACCGCGTTATTGCGTCCTCGATGGAGTTGGTCAGGGCGTGCCCTAAATGCAGGGATCCCGTCACGTTGGGGGGCGGAATGATCATGACAAACTTGCCATTGGGATTGGGGGCGTCAATCGATGCGCGCTAAAGGATACGTCAAGACTAGAATAAAGACATGGCCAAGATGTGACTGGACTCACTCCGTACTCGGGCGTGAAGAAGCCCTCCTTTTCCCACCAGCTGTACCACTGGGCCTCCACATACCGTGGACTGTAGGCATCCGGCAAGGGGCCACTCAGATCCTTCTTCTCCCCGGGCGCCGTTTGGGCACTATACACGGCAGCCTCTTTCACCTCCTTGGTGCGCTTCTGCAAAGGGTGGTATTTGGAGAAAGACATTAGCTTTCACCAGTAACAATAAGAGCAATTACTGCCTCTCACTTGGCCACATAACCTCGTTTCGAGACCTTTTTTGGGGGGCTTTGGAGGGGTATTTGGGACTCACCTCGGGCTTCTCCTTCTTGTCGCCCGCGGCTGGTGCAGCCGCCGCCTTCTTGTCCAACTTCGCCTGGAGCTTCGCCAGCTTCTCGGCCTTTAGACGCTCCTTCTCCAGTTGCTTTGCCGTCTTGGGAGGATCACCTCCGGCTCCTGCTGAAGCACTGACATCGTTCTGCTGCTCAGCCTCGGGCATTTTTCGGGTGTTCGCAGGTATAAATCTGGTTGGCTTAACCGTAAGTCAAGTGATGAAATGAACGGCATACATTACTCACATGCAGTTGGACTGGAGTCGCAGAAAAAACAGATGAAAACGTGTGCAGTTTAGGACCAGGGTTGTCGAGTTCGTTGCTTAAATTTAAACGCTTATAAGTTTTTTTGTTTAAGTTTGGGCCTAATATTTACCTTTTATGTAAGAAATTAAAATTATTTTGTTTTTTATCCAGTTAAACTTATGGTACTATTATGTTAATTGTGATTGCGTTTGGAAAATATTGAGCATTCATAGAGCATATCAATGCTAACACCCATGCATACTGTTTGTTTAAGTCAAAGCTTTGAAAAACTTATAGAGATATTGAGGGATTGTTCTTTTCGCCGCAAGGAAAAAAGCCCTTTACGATAGTGTTAAAAGGTTTTTGTCAATTTTTAGATCGACATAATGCTGATATATCAGTTTTGTATAAGCGTTCTGTCAGCAATTACCTTTTATTTACCTATACTGAGAAAATCAATTTTGAGGATTAGAAAATTAGAAATAAACAAAACAAATGTGCATAGCTATTTATTTGGCTACTTTTATAGCTGGTGTTGGCTCCTCTCAGCTCGGCAACTCCTTCGATAGGCATGCATCGGTATTTAGAATTGGTCGCTGCTGAGATCTGGCCACACTCACCTTCACTGTGTTTTTGGTGTTTTTGCAGGGCAAGATTTTTGCGAAAAAAGCACATAAACTGGTGCAATTTGTGTTGTCCTTTTGTGAAACGTCCAGTGAAAACGGCCATTTAACGAAAATCGGGGGAGGACTTCATCTTATACCCCCCGAGGCAAGTGACAGTACTCGCGTCAGTCAGTGTAATGTTCCAACTCGAATGTGTGTTCATTGGATTGGAGACGAGCGTCTGATAAGCAGCCATCTTATAAGAATGGCGAGTGGATCGTTACCAAATATATACAAAATCTGAAACCCAGTGCCGTTGAGGGGGTGCAAATCAAAATTAAAAATTTAAGCATCAACGAGGCACAAAACACTAGCAATAGTAACGTAACAACAACAAGGCACCCAGACATGTGCATCGCGCAGCTAATCTATTGTAAATAAACTGCGTCTGCGTCCATTGTGAACGTGCACCTTTTCTCGGTCACGTACGCCGATTCCGATTCCTCGATTCCCGATTCCCCGATTCCGTTGCACCAGCAGTGCGGATTGCTGGGAATACGCGAGAAGACAGGTACCCCGCAGTCCTCCAGCGACGCCCGCCAAGGGGGATCAACGGAGACGGAGGAGGAGGAGGAGCCACTGCAGCAGCAACCGGGTGAGTTCCCAGCCAGAAGGCGCCCACCACTGCCCGTTTCCCCAATGGCGATTCGCAACAGCGAGTCCGCTGTGCAAAATCGATTTTTCAATTCGCCAACCGAGGCTGCCTGCCGACCACCCACTTCCGCCCACTCTTACTGGAACGGTTGACTCGATGTAATTCCATTAACTTGCGAAAGTCGCCAGCCCGGTGTTTTTGCCCTTTTTCGGATGACTGATACACAGTCCGCGTCGATTGCAGATTTCAATGCTGTTAATTTTATTGGCTAGTAAAAGATACTCAACACAAAATAACCGGAATTACATATATTACGAGACTACGGGGTACTTCCAGGGTTTTTACTATAGCAAGTTGTAGGGTGCTGATTCAAAAGTTATCAATTGGCTTTTGAATTTTAGTAAGCATTGCATTAATTTTGTTTTAATTCATTTTTTTGGCTTGCTGTAAGTAAATCATCCTTGGTAAAGGCATAGGTCTAAAACTACCAGTAAACAAAACCTAATCAGAATTCTTCAAAATATGGTATGTTACGTGTTTGATCTGTTTTAAAAATAAAGGATCAAAAGTATTCGTTTAAAGTAAAACAAAAATTTTAAGCGCCAATCCGTTTCGAAATTGTAAGAATTGGATTTTGTATTTTACAAATCTATCTTATTACGAAAAATTTACAATGATAGAAGAATCTAATAAATAGGCCTACTCAAATATATAATTAGCCCAGATTTTAAAGCTCACAAAAGCCTTCGTTCATATTCTATCTATTTAGTAACAGTCTATGTTATAGCTAAAGTTATACTTTTTTGTTTCAGAAATGGTAGTTATAAGAACGTATTTATAAAAGGTAGGACGCAATCGAACTTCTGTGTCTCATTGTACCTAAACATCAGAACTTGGCTAATTGGACCATTCTTCTGAAAGTGGACGGCGCCCTAAGGTAGCCTACATATTTTCAGAGCAGTGGTTTAGAATTCATACTATTAGAATTGGTTTATTATTCCAGTTACTCGTAGAGTAAAAGGGTATATAGTATTCGTTATAAAGTATTTAGCAAGCAGCAGGACGCGTTTCCGACCCTATAAAGTATATATCAAATTCACTAGATTAGCCGATCTAGCCATGTCCGTTTGTTTGTCAGTCTGTCTGTCATCTTTTAAACGTTGAGATATCGGAAACTACAAAGGCTAGAAATGCTAAAAGTGGTTAAAACCGGATCATTAAATAGTTAGGAGCAATTAACGTAGTCCCGCCGATTGCTGTTGCATATCTCTGTCTCCCTCGCACTCTCTTTGGCTAAGTAATAGGTATCTGATAGTCGAGGCACTCGACTATTATACATTTTCTACCCTCGGGTATTGTAAAAAGGTCACGCATATATGTATTTTGGATCAGCATCAACCTCCAAGTCGGTTTCAATACTGTTTGTGAGCTATTACAGTTTATATGCATACTTTGTGCAGGGTACCAAAATCATGACGATCGACCGTCTACATTTTAAAGCTGTCTTAGGAATATGCGAAATTTCCTTGTTTTCAAAGAACTCTAGGCAGTGTATGAGCTATAAAAATGAATAATTGCAAATCGAATTCTTTGCTTTCCCTGATCCGGGTAAACATTTTTTGAGTTCTTTTTCAAAGAAATATATTTCGAACTAACTTCCTAATTTTCTATGGTGTAATTTCTAATAACGGTACGCAAGATCAACAAAAATATGTTTTTTCAATATCGCCTATCAATAATTCCTCAAAAATCATAGCAATTAGTCGATTAATTAACTTCATGTGAACTAATACTTTTCCACATAGTTCGTAGTTAGAGAATTGAAGCGTTGCTAGAAGACGTTGAATTTTTGGCCGGACTGTTATCTAAATAGCATCTGCGGGTTTTTAGACCCATGTCCCGACGTTCAATGACTTCTTTAAACCAGACAAAGGTAAACCAATGTTTGACAAGCATTTGACGTGCCCCCGATCAACGACAGGATGACTAAAATCAACTCTTCTGGAGGCAGCAACTGACCTGCGACAAAGAGGACTCGTGAAGTCGAACATCTGCCGTTCTGTCTGCGTCTGTTTTTACCTGCCTCCTTCAAGCAGGGCAACTGGGTTCAACGTACGCCTGCGCAAACACGGTGGCAAATGCAGCTGCTACTGGGACAGGACGAACATTGAAACGTCCGGGGAAGCCGTGATTTTTAGCGACATTTTGCACTTCCTTTTTGACAACAGCCGAAAGCGGATGTCTCAAATGGTGTAACAGTTCTGGTCGAACCTTTCCACCAACTCCTTTCTCGTAAATTGTATGTAATCACCATCGATCGCAGTCGTGTCCTTTCCCCGTTCTCATACCGGTTTCGTTCCCTCAGCCAGTTGTGCAGAGCGCAACTCGAAACTTTTCCCAGTTGGGGCTCTCGTTCCCCTCTTCCTGTGCTCGGCCTTATCCCAGTCCCCATTCCCATCCTTTTTCCTGCGGGCTGCGGTGTCCAGTTACAGCTGGGAGAATTCATTTTTGGAAAGCTGTTTGGTCTGAGTTTGCTGCAAGTTTTTTATGCTGGCTGATCGAGCTCTGGAAGGTCTTCCTGTGGGGTCAGGCAGCTGATGCTGATCGAAATTCTGATGCTGCAGAAGCAGCTGGCAATGGAGCCTGCATATCAGCTCTGCTTACCAACTCTAAAAGATACCCACACTTAATTGTTAGATTGGGGCTTGGGTTTTGTATAACAAAAACCATTTTCATGTTCCTGCGACTTAAGTGTTTTTTATTATTGATTATTATTATGATATCATAAGGAAAAGAAGATCGTATTATGTATTTTCCGTTCTTTAAAAAATTATTTAAAATGTTATTTGGAAACTAAAGATTTATATTTTTAGGGCAAACCCCGCTGGTTCCTAAAACAATTAAATAAAATACTTATACTCCTTTATACTTTTCGAGTTGAATTAAGTAACTTCTCAACAACTGCGACAAGTCAAAGGATGTCATACATTAAAACCGGCTAAAACGCGTCCTATATTTCTTCTTGGATTTGCATTTTCAGTTTCCCGCTATAAGTAACCAAAAAAGGACGTATTATCGCGCTGAAAAACTGGAACTATAGAACAGGGTCTGATAGAATCGTTGGGGGCCCCTCTGGCAGCAGGCAGCTGGCAGATGTCCTTTGGCCCGTGGCACATGCCAAGGATCGAGGATCGCTGAACGATGAGCAAGGAAAACGGACCAGATGTTAACGACAGTCCCGTCCGTGAAGTAATCAATGCAACAGCAGGCCATCTATGTAGGCTCGGTCTCGATCCCTTCGGCTCTGCTCTGCTCAATGCCTCAATACATCGATACCTCAGTGCCGGCTGCAATTCGTTGGATTGCCTGCCCACGAACTTCCATTGCAGCTCACGGCCGACATCGACATCTGTCGGTTGCAAGGGGCCGGCCTGCTGCTGTGCCAGCCAGCCAGCTGTCCTGCTCTCCGATTAAGAGGTCGGCATGCAGGTGATGCAGTACTTTCCGCCTGGAGCACACTTTATCCTTGCGGAGTGCCGAGTTTTTGGGGGTGTGGAGCGGAAAGCGGGGCGCAGCTAATGGGGGATGGCCGAAAATCAGCTGTTTTGCGCAATGTTTATAAACAAAAGCCGAGCTGTGACAGTGGCAGTGGCAGTAACCCTTAGACATGTCTGGGCATATTTTTGGAATCACCACCAGGGCAAGAGCCGCAGCCAGAGCCAGAGCCAGAGCAACCACCGACCTACATTGGCGCACTTGCTCTGGGCCACATGGCGCATGGGGTGGTTCCGCTCACACGCACGCACCACAGCGAACCGCACGGCCTTCTCGTAGGTGCAAGGACGTTGGGAAAACCCCCAAAATGTAAACAAACCCAGAAAAAGCAACCCCAGCAGACACCGGCACCGACCGTATCCGCTCTTGCTCTTGGTCATGTGCCTCTGAACCCACCACCTCGGGAACAACGGATACGGATATGGATTCGGTGTCGTGGAGTGGCGTGTGCCGGCATGTCATCCATCCACACAACGTCTTCGTCATTTAGGGGTTTCCCAAAAAGAAAAAACAAATTGAACCAAAACAGAGCGAGCCGTCGGTGGTAGTTGAGGCAGAGCAAGGAGCATCCGCTCCCGCTCCCGGTCCCATTCATAAAGCGTGATAAACATACCCCCGGACTAGGTGGTGCTTTTGGCACAGATCCCGCCCGAAGTCGCAAGTCCGCAGGTCAGGTGTGGTGGTTCCGTGCCGTGGTTGAAGTGCGAACAAGTTGTCAACGCAACAGGTCGTCGCCCCGCTGGGTGGTTGAGGTCGCAGTGGCCGCCGGTGGGTGGTGCGATGCGATCCTTCCGAGTCCCACTGAGGGTATGCCTTCAAATGGTTCGTGCTAAGGGGTTACAGCCATGGTATTGTGCCAGGCTTAGGATGGCATTTACCGTGTTGACAGCGATTGTGCCGTTCTAAGTTACTGGGTGTATCTTCGGGAGCTTATTGCATACTTTTCCGAGCCTCTCATCCATATGCTTTATTCTTGGTTTCAAGATAGAGGAGAACAATTAGTTTTATTTGGGTATTTGATTTAAGTAATAGCTTGTATCTAAGTAAGTCGACTATCTACCTAATTTCACAGAATACTTTTTCATAATCCATCTCACATTATTTCAACGTGATTATTAAGTTGTGTCTCTCAATAAAACATAGAAAGAAAAGTGAATTGAAGTACATTTTGCAATGCTGCGTATAAGACGTGAAACAAAGGAAGCCTACGGATCTGGTAATTTAATTATCCCTGCTGATTAGCTAACCTTGAAAACATGAATGGGGCCCTTAACTTTGTCATGGACACTCCACTGCCTCATGGCCTCGTTCTAGATTTGGCAATGTCACAGATCCTGATTTGGGGCACAAAGTGTACTTGTGGTGACGAAGGTCCTGGTGCGCACATCCTGCTTCGATCGACTTTTCCCGGGCAGGAAAACCAAGTGGCCACTTGAGCACGGGCACGGGTATCTTGAGAAGTTCCCTTTTGCTCACCGTACATATCCGCCATATATCCTTGCGCTTTCTGCTTTCTGATTTATGCTCCACACGGCCGCCATTTTGTTGACCAATAGACCTGGGATGCGAAAAGTGTCGAGCAATAGAAGAGCGAACAATGGCGAAAAGGAGAATTAATTAGATTGGCAGCTGCTGGGCGTGCTGCAGCTGAAAGAAGCGAGCGTAGAGGAATATAGAAAATGATAGAGCAAGAGTAGAGAGAGAGAGAGAGCGAGAGAGAGCAGCGAGTGTGCGCCGAAAGCCTGCAACGGGAAACTTGTCATGCGCCTCGAGTTCCCCTCCTCCTTCTGCGCCTTTATTCACTTAGCCTACAACAACAGTAACCGAAAGAATGGACGCCAGGACGACTGTAGCTGGGCGCCTGCTTATAAAAAGGACTCGCAGGAACACTAGACACCGACACACACACGCACATGCACACGCACCAGAATCCCAAAATGTAACGAACGAAAAGCATAAAAACAAAACAAAGGCAGAGCAACGAGCCAAAGCCAAACAGTTGTGCAATTGAGATAAAGGACAACAAAAGGGAAACTTCGAAAAGGGGACGCGTGCTTTGCTTTTCGGTCGATGCCTGCCGTCGCCGCACAGTGGTACTTTAATTCACGATATGAATCAAACTTAGGTTCTATAAATATTTAATCAAATTTTGCTTGAATATGGCAAATTATTACAGCCTAGGCTAACTATGATCACAAAAATATGAGGTCCTAAGTGCAAAAAAATCATTGCCTTCTTTCAATTTTGCTTGAATATGGAAAATTATTACAGTTTAGGCTAACTATGATCACAAAAACATTAGGTCCTAGCTTCGAAGAAATCGTTGCCTACTTACTGGCATGTGACGCGTGGGCTGAAAAATTCAAATAGAGAAGTTCAAATGTGTTTAAGCAAACGATAAAGGTAAATAATCATAATAATTCCTTCATCGAGAGCTACTCCTGTCATTTTTGTCCAAGGAAATTAACAAAATTAGACTTATACCCTGATTTAGAAATCCTCCTAGACGTTTCTTGTCTGCTACCCAAATAATTTAAAGTCTGTTTTTTAGTCCTTGCGGTTTGCATAATGTACGTCTTATTATAAAACTAAAAACAAGCAATATATTTATTTTAGATTTAAATGAAACGCTTTTAATGTTCCTCACAGACTTAATCCAAAGATCTTGGAGCTATTTGAAATCATTACCTTTCAATTAACTCGTTTGGGCCCACTGTGCGGCTTCGACGCGCGTGCTTAGCGTCACAAAAGGATATAAAACGGGCAACTGGCAGGAACATCTACAACAACAACTCAACCAGAGGCAGGAACAAGGAAAAAAGCATAAATAATCTTGTAGCTGTTGTCGCAGCTGAGGCAGAGCGGAGCTCGAATTGAAATTTTATGAGAAATTGTATTAGAGAAATGCCTTGTGAAATCACACGAGGCACAGGACGAGTGTGTGTGTGTGCGAGAGTGTGTGTCTGTGGAATGAAATATGAAATGGCAGGAGGAGGGAGGGGGAAGTGGGAATGTGGAAAAAGGGGACGCGCATTATGTCGGTTCTCCGTGTGTTCTTCGTCGACGACGTCATCGCCAGTTGTTGTGTTTTTGTTGTTGCCGCTGCTGCTGCTGGTTCCTGTTTTCGCTTTTTACCGTTCAGTCAATGACCACATTGTGTACACAACTGTAGCGTTGGTGTGTGTGAGTGAGTAATTCCTGCCGGAAGTTGAAGCCGCCGCCTGGTCATTCTCGCTGCTTTGCTGCAAGCTCTCTCTCCTTCGTCCTTTTTGCTCTCTCTCGCTCGCTCTCCTTGCGTTCTGCCTGAGCTGCTTTCGGAGAAACAAGTTTCCAGGATCCTTGGGCACCCCGCCACTTTGGCTTTTCGCCCAAGTCCTGTCGAGCAGTATGACCATTCTTCTGTGCTCTGGTCACGCTTTGATCCTGCCGTTCTCCGCCAACCGCTCCCCCAAGCTCCATTTTCCCTAGGCGTTGCCCGACTAATGACATGTTGTAAATTATACTGCTCCGCGGCATTCCATTCCTTTCGCCGTTTTATGCGGCTGTAATTACTCAGCCCGGTTTCCTTCCTCTGTATCTCTCTCTCCCTCTATCTCGTTTTATGGTTTTATGTTGGCTTTTGTATGGGTTTTCTGCTCACAGGATGCGGCCAAGCTTGTTATCGAAACGCTATCACGTAATTGCTCGCTGCAGTTATCCTTTGCTGATGCAGATGTGCTAATTTGTATTCGAGAAACTCATGTTCCATTAAATCGAACATTATAAGGGATTTGCCTAACTATAATTTTATGCTTTGGGGAATTAGGCAATCAACTGGGGTGGGCTGTTTTTATTACTAGAGAGGTAATGGATCAGGGTTTAGTTGATCGTTAGTTCGACTTGTACTTATTTTCTTTTGATTTTCGTCTAACTTCTTTCATTGCTGGATTTAAAATCGTTTTGGATTTCACTTAAAATCCTTTCTGGTGTGTATGTAAATATTCTTGATCAGCATAATTAGGCATCTTTTTATAATATTATAACTATAGACAGTAAATGTTAAAACCATATGTACCCAGATCTGACGTATTTAGTAAATGGGTCTTATAGCTACTATGGGAATTAAAAAACGGTCCAAACTTGCACAATATCGTTTAGTTTCACTAATTTAATTAATTATGAAGCATCATTGATTTGTTAAAACGATAACGAAAATGTAGTCAAATTTAGATTCAATAAAATAACTGCTTTGTTTAGATAAGTAAAGAACATGCCAAATAAAAATCATAATAGATTGTATAAAAATAAACAACGTTCTGTTCTGAACCCATATCCTGTTGGTTGCTTTTGCAATGATTTCCAAAAATATGCAATTATTAAAAACCCGACACATGAGTTCGTCTCAAGTAAGAGTATCCTTGTTTCCCGTCTCAAGTGGATCCTCAAACTCGATCCCCTGCCACTGTCGTATACCTACGAACGATCCGAGATCAGTAAACCCTAGATTAGATCTTCGCCAAAATCCGAAATCCAGGCCAGGACAATGCATAATGAGGATTAAGTCCTTTGCGATTTCTCCGTCTGCTTAGAGAGCGAGAATTTGCGAAAGAAAGTCCCGACTGAGAGAGCGTTTCGAATGGCGAATGCATTTTCGCCACATTCGCTTTTCGCAATGGAACGAAAGAGCAGGGAAAAGGCATTGTTCGGCGTTCGGATGGAGGAAAGAGGGAGCGACTAAAACGGCCAGTTTTCCTCTCGGCTTGCATTTCCCTATCCACAATTATCCTGTCAAACTTGTTTGCGCCGTCTCCCTCTCGCTCTACACCAATTTTCCTTTCGCATTATGCTTTGACCAGAGCATTCGCATTAAAAGGACAACGCTCTCGTGCGACGCGAGTGTGTGTGTGAGTGCGAACGAGGAGCGGGTTCTTTCGACGCCTGCGTCGCCATCGTCCTGGCATCGAATTGCCGTTCAGTCGACGCTTGCCGCTCAGACCGCTCAGACATGTCGCGCCCGTCGTGAGTGCTTATAGTTAGCTAGTACCTACGCATATACATCCATATATATACATCCTCGAAGAGAGAGAGCAGCCACCAAGTCAAAGACTGTAAAACGCAAAACAACGACGCCATCAGATGTTGCAGGATAACATAAAATTAAGCAAATAAAGCACCAAAGCCAAAGCTAAATCATTCTACAAGAATCGCAAAACGAAAGAGTGCTTCAGTGTATCGTATCAAACATCAAATTGTGCAAATTAGTTACAGTTAGTTGAAAGGAGCAGAAGTTTCATATGCAAATACACCATAAAATAATGTGCAATAAACTACAACCCAATACAAACAAAAGCAACGCAGCAGCAGCGAGAACAACAACAAAAACAAGCAAGCGTTACTCATATAGTCACACAAGTACTTTTGCCATTTTGTTGGGATTTACGCACGGAGAAGAGCATCGAATAAACTAGAGAAGCAGAAAAAACCCATCGAAGCACATCACAAGTGAGTTCCAAATTTCGTCCTTTCACAAACACAATCACACATTCGTAAACACACAGACACACACACGCACATACGTACTCGCTGCTTTGTGACTCGTCCATTTTGAATATCCCCCCCTTTAACGAGAATATCCTGCCCGCTCCTTTGCATAAAGTCTCTCGTTACTTCCCTCCCATATTTGCTCTCTCTTTGTAACTAGCAAATAGTTTTGCGCACTCGTCATCGCCCCCCTTCACCCCTCACCCTCCCCTTCCCCATCATCGTCGGCTCTCCGCTCCCGCTCTTCTTTTTGTTGAGTTCTCGCTCTCTGAAATCGTCGGGTGGTGGTACAGTTTTCTGCGTGGCCGAAAAATTGCGTAAATTTTCATCTAGTTCTCTGGGATGTCTCGCACAGCGTTGTCCTCGTTATCGTTACCCTTGCTGTTCCTCCGGCCTGCAGAGCTTCCAGTCTGCTTGTACGGAAAATAGGAAAAACAAACGGAAAACCATTGGTATTGACTGGGAAAATGTCGCCGGATTTGTGTCATTTGCTTATTGGGCGTTTTCAATCCCTATAAATGACTTGCCGCGGGGACAACGGTTCGTCCTGGCACTCAATAATTAATTATACCTTCAGCTTGATTTATTGTGCTTTTTTTGGGAGGCTTAACGTATACAGAAATGCAGGCAGCGAAATACTTCAATCACGCATGAACTGTGTATTTATTTGTTATTTTTTATTATACGCTTTAAAATGTGCTAGAAAGTTATAACTTTAACTATAAAGCGAAACTTTAATACATTTTTTAAAAAGAAATAATGGAGGAGTGTTCCCAATTGGTTTTATAGTCTGCATCCATGAAAATCCTTGTATATAAGCGAAGCCCAGATAAAGTGATAAATGAGGCCAAGATTAATGAACTGTTATAATAGAAACATTGAAGTCAAGTTTCAGATATTCTTCTAGGAATCTAGATACTTAGATTTGAATTGATTTATTGTCGTGATTTCAGCTACTATTAAGTTAAAACTATTATCTTTGGCACACAGACTTGTAATATATCTAAGCTTGTTTAATTTTAATTCCCTTAACTTTAATTTAAAACATTGTTAATATAATTTGGGCGATATATTTAAAGTTAAGTTGACAATATTCTACATAAAATTTTTGGAAAACATTGCTGGTGAAACAATTTTTAAAAAAGCTGTCAGTACCAGTAAGTATCAAAAATCTAGCAGTAGACCCACTCGGTGTTGAATTTATTGCTTTATTTTATTAAATTTACAATTAGTTTTCTATTATTTTTTTAAAATAAGTCTTGGTATTACTATAACATACCCATGATCGTTAAGTAATTTATTTAAATTAAGTTTGGTAAGAAAATGCAAATAATTTAACATTTTCAGGTCATATATATAAATTCCATAAAACCGCTTTAATTTTAACTCCCAATTTTCAGCTGGTTCTGCATGAAATATGATATACTTATTCAATTTACAACATTTCTTCGTAGTTTTAAAGTTACAGAAAGAACGATCGTTGCACTTTTTATGGGTTCCTATGGGTTATTATGGGTCCTGCTAGCACAGGAGGAACACCACTCGAAAAACTGGGAAGGGGCAGGGGCAACTGCATATCCTGCCAGCCTCTATTCTCCTGCCAGTCGGCCTGCCTGCCTGCCTGCCTGCCTGCTGTTGTTGCCGCGCCCATTAAAAAAAACCTCGAAAAGTGGCAGCTGTTCCTTCGGCGCTCCTTCTCTGTTTGTTTTGTGACAGGCAGCCGATCCCAAGCGATCCGATCGTTGAGCACTGAGTTCTGAGCTCTTAGCGACGGACGTAGGCAGGCAGTCGGGCGGGCGGGCTAGGCATCTGCCCGGGATTAATAGGCCGAACGGGAGTACGGAGTTTTAATGCTGCTTCTATCACAGTTCCAGATCGAAGCATCAGATTCCGAGAGAACGCTGCCTCGAAGAGTAGAAAAGCCGACTTCTCCGAATAAAACGAAAACAAAGCAGTGGGGAAAATGAAAATGTCAGAGGTGCCCCGCATTATGGTCTTTCGACCCACCTGGGAGGAGTTCAAGGACTTCCCCAAGTATGTTGCCTACATGGAGTCCCAGGGCGCTCACAAGGCCGGCCTGGCCAAGGTGGTGCCTCCGCCGGAATGGGTGCCCCGCCGCAGTGGTTACGCCGATCTCGACGCCCTGAACGTCACGATTCCGGCGCCCATCTGCCAGGTGGTCACCGGCAAACAGGGCTACTACCAGCAGATTAACATCCAGAAAAAGCCACTCACAGTAAAGCAGTTCAGCGAACTGGCCAGCACCGAGCGTTACGCCACACCCAAGCATTTTGACTTTGAGGATCTGGAGCGCAAGTACTGGAAGAACATCACATATGTGGCGCCCATTTACGGGGCAGATGTCAGCGGGAGCATCACAGACACCGACCAGGATGTAAGTTGGACAGGGTTGGGGATATGGTTTGAGTTTCCGTTGACGATTCGTTGCCTTTGCCGTTGCAGAGCTGGAACATCAACCGGCTGGGCACCATCCTAGACTATGTGAACAAAGACTACAACATCCAGATAGACGGCGTGAACACGGCGTACTTGTACTTCGGCATGTGGAAGACGACCTTCGCCTGGCACACGGAAGACATGGACCTGTACTCAATCAATTACCTGCACTTTGGGGCTCCGAAGACGTGGTACGTGGTCCCGCCGGAGTGCGGCCGCAAGCTGGAGAAGGTGGCCAACCAGTACTTCCCGGCCAGTTACAAGAACTGCAACGCCTATCTGCGCCACAAGATGACGCTCATCTCGCCGCAGATCCTTAAGCAGCACGACGTGCCCGTCAGTAAGGTGCGTGTATCAGTAGTATTTTCCGTAAAGCGGATCCACTAATTCCGGCTCTTGCAGATCACGCAGGAGGCTGGCGAGATCATGATCACATTTCCGTTCGGCTACCATGCCGGCTTCAATCATGGCTTCAACTGCGCCGAGTCCACGAACTTTGCCATGGAGCGCTGGATCGAGTACGGCAAGCGGGCGGTGCAGTGCACCTGCAGCAACGACATGGTTAAAATCTCGATGGACACGTTCGTCAAGCGCTTCCAGGGCGACCGCTACGACCTGTGGATGGAGGGGCGCGATGTGGGTCGGCATCCGGAGGATCCGGCGAATGGGGTGCCCAGCGCCGCTCCCCTGCCACCACACCTCGATGTCTTGCTGTGTGATAAAAAGTAGGTTTCCTTGTGCATCCCGGCGCTTCCATCGTGTCTTATTCCAGTTTCTTCTGCTCCTCCGCAGAATGAAGAAGCAATGCAACCCGACCAAGGCCAAGAGCTTTAAGGAACGTAATCCTGATCTGGACCTGGATGAAATCCAGCAGAATCCCAACGTGCCCGACGATGTCAAGGCCATGCTGAAGGAGAGCGTGCTCACGTTGGACACCGGTGATCTGGCGACGGAAGAGGGTGACTTTGCCAACGAGGATGCCATGAGCCTGCAAAGTCCGGCGGACCTAAAGACCAAGCAGGAGCTGCTTGAGTACATAGACGACGGCACAGGTGTGTGGGCCGGCAGGTGGCCTTGAGTCGACCCTATCCCCAGCAGTTGATCTATAATCTTTCCCTTTCTCGCTCTTGTTCTCTGTCTTTCATTTCTGTCTGCCTCTTGAATCTTCCCGTTGACAGAGGACGACGACGAGGAGGAGGACTTCAAGCGGCGCAAGCAGAAGCGGCGGTACGATGCCGACTACGACGACGACTGGGTGGCATCCAAGCGCAAGAGCCACTCACGAAATAGCAGTCGGGGGCGCAGTCCGCGCACCAAGGACGATCGCTCCATATCGCCGGCTTCCTCGACCTCCTCCACGTCGCGCGGTGCGAGGCGTGGCAAGGCCGGCGGAACACCCCGAAAGACCCCGACCAGGCGGAAAAAGGACGCCAGTACCACCTCTCCGGCGGCACCAACTGTCGCTGCCGCAGCATCGCCCACAGCAGCAACTGCTGGTGTGACCACATCACTGACCCCAGCAGCAGCAGATGCCGGCGGAGGTGAGAGCAGCAGCTTAAACAGCCACTGCACCACTGCATCCACATAATCACAGCTTCACTCGACCACCATCCAAAGCCCCAAACCCAATGCCCCGAATGCCAACCCCCTTTAGCAACATCATTCCTCATTCCACAGCCTTTTTGTTCTGTCAAAATTCAATGTTTTAAGCCGTTTGTCCTTCGTTTCATCGTTCTGTTTTGTGTTTAATGTACAAATATATCGTCTAGTTTGTTTTAATTATAAGAGTGCGTCAGATAAATATACGATCACGCTTTTAAGTCTATGCTAAAAACTAACCAAAAACCAAAACTGTTTTACTAAACCGAATCCAAGGTGTTGGTGCTGCCTGGGCCTGTTCTTCTTCTTTTGCCGCCCCAGAATCCGCTTCACTTGTTCTTTCGCTTAGACTGCTCACCCCATCCCAACTCAACCCAATTCGCAATGCTTCCCCAGAAACCCCCCGTCCACGTGTGTCTTTGTGTTTACACCAACAAAAACAATATCAACCGCATTTAATCACAATCAATGAAAACATTGGCCCGATCAAGCACTAAATTCTACCGATTGACCTCTTTCAGATGCCAAAAAGGAGCAGCAGTCATTGCAGTTTATGCAACAGCCGCGTAAATTCGAGGGCAAGATACCAAAGCTAAGTCAACCGACCGCCGCATCGGGAGGAGGAGCATCAGCAAAAGCATCCACAGAAGCCTCCACATCCAAGTCTAGTCAAGAGCAGCAGCAACAGATTGTCTACGTCAACATGTTGCCGGCGGCCAATACCCTAAATGGCATTCCACAGCAGCAGCAGCAACAGTACGGAAGTACGGACGGAAGTGTCTATCAGCTGCAAAATGAGATCCTCTGTGATGCCAACGGACATGCCGTAACCGCCGCCACGGCCTCATATCAAACTACGGCCAGTAGTCCACAGCAGCAGCAACAGCAGCAGCAGCAACGGAATGTTGCAACCAGTGTTGCCGGTAAGTGTCCGCCTTGAACTTGTTCGCTTTGTGTTTATTTGTTTGTTGGTTGTAGTCTTTGTGTATGGTTTAACCCTCTTGTGTACTCGTATTTGGTGTTTCAGTTGAAGCTATTACCACTAACCGCTCATTGTAAATACAAACTCACCCAAATTATGATTTGATCGTCATCCGAATTGGCCAAACTCGATTCCAATCAAATGTTTCGTTTCGTAAATGTCGCACAGCAATTCCATATCATCCACTCCATTCCATCTTGCCATCCGACATTCAAAATTGCATTGTTTTGTTTTTAAACTTTTTGTGCCAAAATTCAACCGCGCATCCAGAAAGAATTTATCGAGTAAGAACAAACAATGAATTTGACTTCCATTTGCCGTGTTCTTGTCACACCTTTTGCCCCTGCCGAGAAATAAAATGGAAAAGGAAAGAAAAGGCGACAAAGTAAAGTCCTGAATTAACCACCGACCTATATCAGCTAAATCAAAATCCAATCGCATCGCCCAATTAATAACAACCGCTTTCGACTGATCCACACACTACATGCTCGTCTTTAATTTGCGACAAACTTCCCCAGGTCTGTGTCTGTCTCTTCTCGAAATGTCGTGAATATTGGAACTATCACATAAATAAATGCACAAATCATTTCAACCGAGGAAACTCCGTGCAAAGCGCGTCGAAAAAGGCTCAATTGTTGATCACGTATTTTAATTTACCTTATTAGCTAGCTTAAGATTAACGAATTCAAATTTTTGGCGCCCAGGGGTGGAAAAGTGAGACCATTGCGGCCCAGCGGAGCGCGTCAGTGCTGCCCATGCGCGCGGACTTGGGCGCCAGATTTGAAAATTGATTTATAATTTTTAGATTTGCGTTTATGATTTAGTTATTTTTAGCAATGACACTATCCTCTCCTACCTTTCATATTATGTTTTCCACTCTTAACACAATACAAGCACAATCCGTTCTCAGCTCCTCCGCAAAGGAGGAGTCTGACCAACGTTGGCCAACACACCACCAGTTTCACCCTTTACTCTGTCCTGCTACCTCCTATTACCCCAGTTATTCAAGTCGATAATTTATTTAATTTTACTTTATTTAGTGCGTATTGAGTTGCGAGTACTGTACCAGAGTTACGATTACGATTGCTGTAAAGTAGATCTAAGTAAACACAAATTCTACCGACAAACAAAAACCAATTCACTCACTTTCTATCTATGTATCCTGTAATGCCGATTCCAATTGATTTGATCAAGAGGCCCGTGTAAACGCCACAGATGCCCCACATCTGTGGTACTTACATTTAGTTGGCCGCAAGTAGCTTTCATTTTGCACTACATTTGTTTTATGCGAACCTGATTTGAGTGAATTGTTGATTGATTTCGATTTCAATTACGAATTGATTTATTGATTTATGCAAATATTACATTCAAACACATCTTTTATGAACCGAACCAAATATGTATTTTCAAAAATATATAAACAAAAGACAATGTGGTCACAACTATTAGTTCGTCCTCCATCCTGCACACGAACGCCAACACCAACGGAGTGGACACGATCAACGCCCAGCAACAGCAGCAGCCACATTACCACTATATCACCACCACCGGCGAGGATGGACAAACCCCGACCACCATAGTGTTCGAAAACTACAACGGCGGAATGCCGGCGGTCAGTTCCGCGGCCCCCACTCCCGTTCCCGTATCGCAGGGCAACTCCGCCGCGACCACGACCACCACTGCCCTGGTCAACACGGACGGCACGATCATCGAGTTCGACGGGAGCACGTACGAGGAGTACCACGTGCTCAAGAGCGAGCCCGGCAGCAGCGACTGCCTGAGCAACGGCAGCAGCGCCGTGGCCGCCGACATCATCAAGTACGAGCCCCAGCACGGGATCGTCGGCGACGAGGAGGACGATGAGGAGACCGGACTGCTGCAGGTGAAGTACGAGGAGCAGAGCCTTGAGCACGATCCGGAGCATGAGCTCGATCCGGACCAGGAGCACGAGTACGAGGAGTTTCAAGTGATGAAGGCCGAGGTAGAGGCCGAGGCGGCGGAGCAGGCGGCCGGCACCACCAGCTACACGATCAGCCAAGACCAGGCGGGATCGGGCGCCACAGTGGTGTCCTCCATGGTGCCCAAGTCGGGGTCGGCGGCGGCCGCCAAGCAGAAGCGAAAGCGCAAGACGCGCGTCATAGCAGACGACGAGCAGGGCGAGTACCTGGAGAAGATGAGTGTGCGCGGTCTGGACATTGCCCGCTACGAGCACATCATCGACGGAGTAGCCTACTGTCTGGTCTGCGCCAAGAACGACATCTTCAAGACGTTCAAGAACAAGTACAGCTTCCAGCGGCACGCCTACCTCTTCCATGAGGGCCAGAACCGCAAAATCTTCGCCTGCCCCATCTGCAACAAGGAGTTCTCTCGCCCGGACAAGATGAAGATGCACAAGAAGGACAAGCACGGCGACGTGCCCATGCCCCCGTCGGCCACCACGACACCTCTGAAGGCTGACGGTCCGCCGTCGAAGCGGGCGCGTACCGCTCGCACTCCACGGGTCCGCAAGTCAAAGGGCGGCGACGGCAGCACGCCGGCCAAGAAGCGACTGGCGCAGATCGACAGTGTGCTGGATGACGTTCAAAATGGAGAGTCTCTGGCCCTGACGCCGGTCAGCGTGAGTCACTCCCAGCAGCAGCAGCAACAACAGATGCAGCACAGCTTGACCACTACGCTGGCGCCCTCGACGCCCTCGCAGCCGCAGCATCAGCTGCAGACGCTTCCGTCATTGGACTTCAGCGGCATGATCCTCCCTGGCGGAGCTCAGCTGGCCCTGGCCAATCCGGGGGCCACCAGCTCCGTGGGCCTGCAGCGAGGCCCAGCCACGCCGAATGGCGGTCAACCGACGGCGCCCACCACCACGCTGATCTACTCGAACCAACTGGAGCTGCAGCAGGCGCTGTTGCAACAACAGCTGCACGGCCAGAGCATCATGATCCAGGATCAAGCCGGTAACCTGGTGCCCCTGCAGTTGGATGGAACCCAGGCGATATACACGACGGCGCCGCAGGCTCAGCGCCAGCAGTCCACGCCGACCACATATCAGACGACCCAGCAGCAGCAACAGCAACCGCAACAGCCCGCCAGCCAGGCGCAGCAGCAGCCGCACTACGAGCTGGACAACGTGACCTATCTGAGCTCCACGGGGGCGGCCACTCCGGCGTCGGCCGAGCAGCAGCAACAACAGCAGCAGCAGCACGTGATCGGCACGGTACAAAGCTACCAGATCCTGACGCCCGACGGCCTGCAGAACTTCCAGCCCAAGCTGGAGGGAGCCGAACTGAATGACCTGTGTCCCTACTCCCAGTACACCTTTACAACGCACGCCGGCGCGCAGCCCACGCTGAATGCAAACGCGCTGGACGCGCAGACCCAGCACCAACAGCACCACCAGCAGCAGCAGCACCACCAGCAGCACCACCAGCAGACGCAACTCCTTCAGCAACAGCCCTTTGCCACGCACCACAATCCGCACCAGCAGTTCATGGAGCTGAAGAACGAGCTGCTGATCAAGGGCGGCGACGCCTACGCCCTGGACGCCGCCTCCATGTACCACCTGCCCTTCTCGCCCACCTCCATGATCAATGCGGTGAACGATGTGAATACCTCGTCGCTGCTGGAAACCAAAGAAATTAGGTAAACGCTCTTTCCAACTAACCCAGCCCACTACCCCACCCCCTCCTCTGTCTGCCCGACTTCTCTTAGTGTAACGCGCTCGATTAGATTGCCGCTCTGTATTTGTATCTGTACTATATCTCTGTATCTGTATCTATAACTCTATCGATATTGCTAACTCTGCCTCCGTAACCCTTTCATTGCGATTGCGACGCTGATCTTCCTTTCACGTATTTAGAGTCTCGCGACGACGGTGTACTTGATATCAAAAAAGAACACTTTAAACACCCAATGGCCGCCTACAAAAACACGAAACTGAACATTACGGGGATGGGGGATACATTAAGCATTATCTTGTTTAGTTTTAAATTAGGATTATGCATATTTTAGTTATACTTTGTACTCATCCATTATGTAAAATTTTACTTCTTACGTATGTGTATTATTTTGTAGCCGTTAACAGAGTTTTTCAGTTTGTATCTTAGTCGTATGAATTGAGTTTTGTGCATTTATTTATTTACCAATCATAAACCCACAGAGGTATCGCACTCTATTTCGAATAGACTGTTCCTTGTGTGGCTTGTTGTTGCTTCCTTGTAAAACGGTATGCCAGCAATTACCCCCAATTAATCCCCCGAATTAATCATAATAACCAACTCGTTTCCCTTTTGTTTCGAGAAATACTTGTGTTCGAATACGTTTTATACTTCAATGCAATTTTGTTCTTTTTCTTTCTTTTTCTCTTGTTTTATTTTATGTACACACAACCAACCCACCAACCAACCAATCAATCAATCAATCAAAACAACAACCCAACAATATAACACTCGCCTAAATAAAAACACGCATTATAACCGTAGCTACGATATATCAGAGGCAGTGCTACTAGCTCTCTGAACAATCGGCCACCACAGACAGCTGCAGCCAAAGTACCAAAAATTCTATTTAACAAATAAGAGACTCTGCCACGAGTTCGCAATGAAAAACAAGATCGCTAACGAAACGAGTGTAATGTGAAAACCTTGCCCATAACCCCAGTCAAAAGCAACGCAAATGGAAGCCATTTTCAATGTTTGCCAAGATCAGCGGCCAAGCATGGATAATAATCCAGCGTACTAACTTATCGAAACATTAGTGTACTTACTTCCGTCGCGTAACAACCGTCAATACTCAATTGCTTGAGGACATCTCGTCAAGCCTCATTCACTGATTCACTCATTTCCTCATCATCACTTGTTGTGTGTATGCCAGAACAGCATCGGCCATCAACTAAGAAACAAACAAATAACGATCTCCAACACACTAAATACGAATAATACGCAAATATAAATCAAAACATTTAATAATATAATATTGGACAATTAGTGAAAGGTATGTGTACTTTTGTTTATTCGCTTTATTTCCTTGTTTTGATTTTGTTTTGCACACCTCTTTTCTGTTTTGTGATTAACCAATGTACTTCGGGATACTGCATTTTAACTATAAACTGGGGGACTGCTTGCACCGATTCTCAGAGATGTATAAATCCCATATGATTGTCTGTGAAAGCAGTTGACTGACCACTGACCAAAAACCACACAATCTAAGATACACCAACATCTACATTCGATCCAATTGAGATATCATTCATGAGCGTCTTATCATTTACTAACCCAAAATTAACTTTGATTCAAGCATATCTAACATCTAAATTGAATGAAAGGAGTCAAAACAAAAACTAACACCAATCAAAATAAGAATCCAGCAAATATGCTAATCAAATTGTTTTTATTTTTTCTTTTTTCACCCGACAACATTTTCCGTTCGTCTGTTGTTTGTGTTTTTGTGTTATTCCCTATGATTTGCACACAAAAATTCATAATCATGCGACACAACAACCACATGAACAACAACAGGTTCTTCTAAACAAGACAACAACCAGAAACAAAAGTTCAAGCGGCCATACACACCCAGCAATCACAGAACCCAGAACACCACCACCAACAGTCCAAATCAGAATCAGAATCAGACCAAGAACACAACACCTGAAGATTCGCAGCGTCGCCAAGTGGAAGCGTGTCGCATTTACTACGAAGAAATCATCGTCAAGCAGGCGAATGCCCGTGCTCGCCTGGCCGACAGCAACAAAAGTTGCAGTCGCAGCGCCAGCAGCAACATCGCCCCCGGCAGCAGCAGCACCACCACCTTCGTCGACAAGTTCGCCGACTTTGTCAGCTACTCGAGCCGAACTTCTCCCATGCCCAATGCCCCTGTCCAGTCCCATGTGCCGTCTCCCACAAGCAATGCGACTAATGCCATCCTTCCTCCCAACACCAACAGCAGCAGCGGCAGTGGCAACCCCACTGGCAACGCAGCCGGCGGCAACAATGTGTCCTCCGTGGTGAACAGCACCGCGAGCAATGGCCTCAAGCCGGCGGCCAAGAAGACGCCTGTCATCCTGCTGGCCGCTCGTGGAGCCGCCAAGCAACCGCAGCTCAGTATTCTTAACGGCAACACCAAGGCCGGAAGTGGAACCGGAAGCGGAAACGGGGGCGTCACGTTGGTGCGCGTCAATGCGTCCAGTCGCAATCAGCGCCAAGTTATCGTCGCCCCAGAAGCAGCCTCGGTGGAGCAGCAGCCCGTGGCCGAAGAAGAACTTCTGGCCGAGGACGAGGAGCTCGACGATGACCTGGACGAGGATGCAATGGCCCTGGGCGCGCTGTCCTCCTCGACTGCCCAAATTCTGCGAAAGTTCCGCATACCCAAGGGCACGGCCGTAACGGCCAAGTCTGGCGAAAACTACCTGGCCATGCCCACACCCACGCCATCGCCTCCGGGCGTCGTGAACTTGGTCAGCTCCGGCGTTGAGGCCTCCGGATATATTGAGAACGAGGACGACATCATAGAGGAGCTCAACGAGGACGACCTGGTCGAGGAGATTATTGACGAGGAGCCCAGCCAGGAACAGCCAGATTTGCAGGAGGCGACGACCACTGACGGGCTCGACCTGAGCAGCGCGAACAACGCGGCGGCCACAACGGCAGCCACTATGCTGCTGGCCCCCCAACCGCCTCCGCTACAGCTGCAGACAGTGGCCTCCAACGGGACCGTGACCTGCTTTAATCTGCCGGCCAACACCATCCTGCTGCAATCAGCCGACGGCAGCATAATTGCCGCCACCCAGGTGCCGCATCCCAGCAAGGCGGGCCAGCATCAGCTGATAGCGCTGCCGGGCAACGTGGCCCTGGCCACCGAACCGACGACCCAGACGCAACAGGCAACGGCGGCGCCCCAGGCCACGCAGACCCTCATCCTGACCGCCGACGGCACGGCCATCCCCATTCTGGCGAGCACTACCCAACAGCAACAACAGCAGCAGCAGCAACAACAGCAACAGGCTGCCGCTGCTGCTGCTGCTCAGTTGTTCGCCGCGTAGGGGCTAATGGGTGGCCAAATGGGTCGATTTTTGAACAGTGCCACCATAATGCCGACCACTTACTTCTTTTAGAAATCTCAGAACTATTCAGCAGTGATTCCGGTTGCTCATGGGACAAAGCTGTAGGTCAGCCTTGTACTGTCAGCAACATTAAAACGTTTCCCTTGGGTTTTGGAATACTTCAAAAATCGTCACATTTGGCCACCAACAAACGGGAAATGGGAAACCGAAGCGTTTACTGTAAAAAAATGAATAATAACTCAAACATAAGCCAAGCTAAACTAATTGATATTACCACACTGTTGGATGTGCATACAAAATTTATTTTTTTATTCAAAAACCAATTGCCTACAAGAATATAAATCAAATGTTGTTCAACACACAGACTCACACGCGAATGGTGTTGCGGAAGAATCAAATACACACGTTTCAAGGCAAACTTAAGAGCACCATAAATTTAAATTATTTGTACGCCTAAGCTTAATTTTAAACGTTTAAGTGCAAAGACGAGACACACCCAAACCAGTTGTAACTATTTAACCTGCCTAGAGTGCAGGCCAAATAAGTTTAGCCTAATTTAGAGTTGCGAGAATTGTTCCGTTTTATAGAAGGATAACTCACTTTTGAAACTCCTCCTGACAGTTCTCTACATATACGTATAAATATAATTTGTTCCTTGCATAATGAGAGAGAGACAGGCAACTATGCAACGTATTTCATATAGTATTTATTCAATAAGTTCTCAATCTATTTATTTATTTTTGTTAACCAAACTTATCCGTGCACCCCTACATCCTTGTCATTTTAGTTTCTTTTAACGTGTTGTATATTCTTTACATATATTATATATTTTATTTGCAATTTTGTTATGCCATTCATATACAAATAGGAATTCAAGCATAGCACTGACCTAACATTACTATAAGTTGTAGGCTCGATACTTTAGAATAAAGTATTTTTTTAAAGAATGTTGTGAAACCAACAAGAACACAACAACACATTAAGCTAAGCGAAACTAGTTTAAGCCCAACATAACTTTAAACGATGGAAGACAATGATTTAAAATATATAAAAATATGTAATCTAAGACAAATAAGCAAAATTGAGTTGCACTTCTGTAAGATATACTTTAATTAATAACGACACGAAACAGCTAAAAATTAAGCAACTCGGTAGCCTACATTATGTATAATAAAAATTCTAAAGCTAATATTACTTTACATATATATATATATATTTATTATAAACAATAAAATACAATTTTAAAAATTTAAAGCAATAAATTATTTTCGTTTTTAATTTTTCAACAGGTTAATTCACTGATAGAGGTCACTGGACTGTAAAAATACCTAAAGCCTAAAGTATTAGCTCTGATCTGACTTTAAAAACAATTATCATCAAGATTTCATGAAAGCAATCTAGAGAAAACATTCATAATAGCTAAAACTTTTTATTCGATGTAATTACAGAAATACATTCTGATGCCATTAGTTTTTATAGATTGGTTGAAAATAAGTTCCAAAAAGGCGACTGTCTGTAATTACCAAACTGCATCTCCAACGTAGTCACTCTTTTTGGACCGAAATTTTTCCATTATGTTCAGGTATATCTTGTAGAACCCAAAAAAAAACATGGAAGAACGCTATAGTCGAGTGCCTCGACTATCAGATACCCGTTACTCAGCTAATGGGACCAAAGGGAAATGGAGATATGCAAGATGCAAAGCGAGATTGAAATGCGCCACCTACCGGGGGTCGACAGATTTAAGCGTTATGCGCGTTAGAGTGGGCGTGGCAAATTTTTGGATCAATCGATACATTTTAGTTAAAATTTTGTATCTAGGATTTGTGGGCGTTAGAGTGGGCGTGGCACTCTGCTGAAACAAACTTGCGCTGCGAAGGATTCTTAAGAATCTGCATGCCTAATCCCAGTATAGTAGCTCCTATAGTTTCCGAGATCTCAGCGTTCATACGGACAAACGGACATGGCTAGATCGACTCGGCTAATGATCCTGATCAAAAATATATATACTTTATGGGGTCGGAAACGCTTCCTTCTGCCTGTTACATACTTTCCGACGAATCTAGTATACCCTTTTACTCTACGAGTACCGGGTATAAAAATAGTAAGGTAAAACCGAATAGATGACTCCAAAGGGATTGCCAGTTAAAAAAAATAAAGCTCCTTTTTAAAATCAACCAAAAACGGCTGTAGCTTGTTTTGAGCCATCTCTTTTAAAAAGTTGGATGTGAACCTGCAAGGTGGAAAGTTAGGAAAATAAACTTTTAGCACTCTTAACTTAATGAAAAATTATTATTACAATTAATCGCTTTAATGAAGCTGGAAACGTTCCCGAGTATAGGGGATTGGTAAAACGCTAGATATTTTTCATCTTATACACAACAAAAAATTCACAGAGCTACATCAAAAATGGTAAAATAATTCTTTTCGGAACCGGAATATTATGTTTTTACTCTCCACATTCCAGAATAAATTCAGGCAAAGAAATATTATTATTAAAGAGTACATATGTTAAGAGGCCGAACGTCACCAAACATCGCATAAATTAGTTCCAGATGCAATCATAACTAATTAATCAAATTTTTAGTACACAGAGAGAAATGCATATTTGTGGATCAAACAAGAAAAAAATAGAGACGATCGCAGCACTAACGTACAGAAGATTATGAAGAAATATGATTTTGCGTTCAACTTAATAAATCCACTATAGAAAATGTACTTGTTCGTTACTATTTTTTATACCTCTCTAAGAGGTGTTTTTTTATATCAGAGGAGAGAGATCGGAAAATTATGAATAAGTTGGCGCGTGCTTGCCTAAAAAATTGGTAGTTTTTTATATGAAATAATCGGCATTTGTCCAAATGACCCTTAAGCAACTAAGACTAGAAGAATATAACTTCAATTGTTTTAACGTACATATTTTGTTTTGAGATCGAACATTGTTAAGCCCCAAAGACGCAGGGAGACTCTCAATCCGATGTCGCTGTCAATCGCAGTACTTGGACACAAGATGAAGCTCCACTGCCTGCTTTTGGCGGTAGTCCTGATTAGTGCCGTGAACTACAGCGGCAGTACTACCAGCACCGAGGCCTACCCCGTTACCGTCATTAGCACTCAGTCCTCCTTCTCCGGTGCCATCACCAGCACCGAGGGCTCCACCTCCGAAACCATCACCAGCACGAAGTCCGACACCGTCTCGTCCACCAAGTCCAGCTCTTCGTCCTCCTCCAAGAAGTCATCCGCCGGCAAGCGGAAGGCTCGAGCCCGCAGACGACGCTCTGCCGCTAGGAAGAGTTGTGCTACCGCCAAGCGTAGGCGCAACGGGAACTGGATGCCGAAAAAATTAAGAATCGGAGTCCCAACCAATCCAGCCACGACAGAACATATAACTTTTTTTAACTCACCTTCTTTGGATCCTCAAATCAGACTAATAAAAATGGTATAATAGAAACATATTCACAAGTGTTTTAAGTTGGAAGAACTAAGATGCGGAACCAAAAACTAAGTGTAAACTATTTTAGTATATAAGGGGAAGAAACTTGGGAGTTGAATGCAGCTTTAGTTCTTTTTCGATATCAAACAAAAAAAAACCTCTAAAATAACTGAAATGTCGTGAGGAATGTCATTCAAAAGTTGTGAAATCAAATTTTGTTAAATTCGTTCGTGTATACATATATAGTAGATGTCTTTAAACAATATCCCGGTGCGCATCGTCACTTCCTGTCCTGCCGACCACAGTGATCTTGAACAGTGTTAGTGGCCGAGTAGGTCTAGCAATGTCCATTGGTCTGTCCGTATAAACGCTGAGATCTCAGAAACTATAAAAGCTTGAAAGTTAGGATTAAGCATGCAGAGGAATCGATTTTATCGTTCCTTCTTCTTTCCTTTATATCAGCGGTCGGAACGGAATAAAATTACATCTTGTTTGTGTGACCCTGCCGAACGCTGCTTTATTTGTTATGTTGAATTATTAATACACATTTCCAGTATAAAACGTGAAAATATAAAATGTACTTAAACTCTTTTTGCCCATGTACATGAACAAATGACATCAATCACAACAACACTATAGATAAGTGTTCAATATCGGGATGCTCGTAATTTCGGATTTCTCTTTGTCTGGATTGGCTGCATGCATTGGACATACCACACAATACCTCCGACGTGTGCGTTTGGCGGCCTTGTGTAGTTTTCCATTATTGTGACGTTCATTTTATAGAGGCCCAATGGTAGAACGATCGGAGAAAATGATTCGGGAAGATATGCGTCGCGTGCGATTAAATGTCCAGCATAAGGACAGCTGTGATTAAAATTCGAAAATTGCTTAGCAACTTTAAGAATAATTAACCCGTATGGCATAAAACTTCGTTTTGATAGTAAATCGCAAACATTTAAGACCACATTTATAAGAAACGGCTGGAACTTATTACTGTAGTCTTTCTTAAAGACCTGAAGTTGAACCTGAAGAACATCAGGTTGGTTTATAAAAAACATTATAGGGATAGCTTTTAAATTGTACTCACTGATATGTTATACAACGGCTTTACGAGATCAACGTCCATTTGGGCCACCGCTTTGTTCCAGTTAACGGCCTTTAAACGGCACGAAGCGTTTGCCGAGAATCCGGTCACAGTCAGGCACTCGATATTTTTCAATTTGTACACAACGGAGGGATCGCATATCTGGCAAATAGTAAGTAAGTTTTCGAAAACATAAGAATAGCATACTTATGGCTACTCACGACCCTCCATGACAGGTAACTGACCAACACGGCTAGAACAGTATAGTGCATGTTTCTCAGATGTGTGGAACTTCTGTCATATATCATTTAACTTTTATCGCTACAGTCTAATGTGCTTTTAATTGGTTTTGATTTTTAAAAAGTACACAAAATGTAATCAAGGCATTTATTCGACATCGATTTGTTCAATACTAATAAATACACTGTGTTGTGGATCGAAGGCGATATCGACTTTGGGCACAGGGGTGCAGCGATATCATACGCGATATCTGGACAGACACAAGCTTAAGTAAGGAAAAAAGTGGGTCACTTTTGAATGGTCATCCGAATGTTATCCGCCGTTGACGCGGAAAATTGAACAACGGAATTCGGATGCACAGTGTCAAAGTCACGGTCAAGGGCGTGACATAAGTTTACAAGTATAAAAAAACTATATTTTTCAAGCCATCCCAATTTTAGTTTGAGCTGCAGCGCGTGTTGGTGTAGGATGGATTCAGCAGAAACAGGACAGGTCAATCAAATTGGCCTGGCAAAAATTTTTATGAGTGGGAATTAAATAAGCCCAAAAGAATACCTGTGTTGCCCATCATTCCATCATTGGTAAATTTTAGGACTTTCTTTTTTTCGACGCTGTGAAGGAGACGTTTTCGTCCGTCTTTCCACTTTTACGTGAACTAGCCTTTCAGTTTTAAAACTATCGGTATGAAAAGTCCTTCCAAAGTCCTTTTTCAAGTGCAGGTATACTACACCAAAAAAAAAAATTAATAAGTGTGGGTGAAAATGACACTACACTTAGGATCAACTAATTGGGATCAATTTAAAGCTAAATAACTATCAAAGGTATACAACATTGTATAAAAAAACATATTTGACCGTAAATAGTGTCATAAAATAAATCCGTGGATATTTCGATACCGATAAAAGCTTTGTTTTCTTGTTCGAGTATCGGTTATCAGGCATTTAAATTAAACACCCGCGGGATTCTTTTTCGCAGCCATTTTAAGCACTATATAAATGTTTTAACTAGTACGCCACCAAGCCGCAAGGGGCGCTAGGCTAGTTGGCGCTGTAGGCTGTGGCGCAACATTTTTGAGGGACCACCCCAAATCTATTGAGGTAATTCTAAGACTTACATCAAAAGAGAAAAGTATTTAAAATAATAGTCTTGCAATAGTAATAAAGGCAAACCATGGAAGTGTAAACAACTTTAAATTTTATAACCAATTACAATGTAAAAATTAAAATTGAGCAATTTTTAATTCCCGAAATGAATTTAACAGAAGTAGAAGAAGAATACTATTCTAATCAAAGATCATACATTGCAAGAATTCATTAAGGAACTACATTTATAAGTTATCCGAATTTAAAACACCACCCCTACACGAATATCAACTTAACAATGATATTAAAGCTTTCATATTTTACATATATCATTTGAATAAATGTATAATTTTTTGAGAATGGATTCTGACAGCGAGAAGGATTTATGCTCGATTCGAGGTTGAAACCGAGAACGATTTATCTCTTAATCGAGATCGATTCGATGTTGAAACCGAGAAGACTACATCTCAATATCGATAACACATATTCTCAAAAGCCATTCGCAAAACAAAAAGACTTCGATCTCGGTTTTGAGAGTTCGAGTATGAATCGATCCTGGCTCACTTTTGAGATCGAAAATACTGAAATCAAGATCGTTGAGAACGGTTTTTTCTCCAAATGTAAGTTAAGATCAGGAACAGAATTACTGAGAGTGGCGATCCCTGGGGAATGTCGCTGTGCTGTGGATTCCGCATTTGTTACATCTAGTGTGATTACTGATAATTATAAGTGAATCTTTGTTGATAAGGAATTATATTAAATCCAGCTTTTCGGAATCCAGTTATCGATTGTTGTGACTATGACATTTATAAAGGATACACTCCTGGGGGCTGGCGTAGTCAGTGCTATTACAGCTATTAATAATAAACCACTGTAAAGAGTCAGAAAAGAAGTCAAGAAGAAAAAGGATTTTTTAATTGTAACTAAAAATGGAAAACTAAAAAAATGTAAAACTTAAAATGATGGGAAGAAATCGGAAAAGACTAATTTTAGGTTTTCAAGACCAAGTCGTAAGATTTTTATTTCATCAATTCATATTATAAACTGTTTGAAAATAAACAGTTTTCCAAAATCCAAATTTTTTATTTACGAACTGGCATCATGCCGTCTGTGGATCACGTGGTGCACCATGTGCTGGCGCCTATGGCAATCGAGGCTCTCGATTGCATAGTGCCTGTTATCCGCCACCTGGTGATTATCCTACATGAGTCCTTCCTCGTTGATCACAAGGAGCCGGAGCCCGTGATCGATGTGTCTGGCATGATTCAGCCCGTCCGTAAAATAGTCCTGATCATAAACGATCCTACGCCGGAGCACCATGCCGATCAGCAGACGGTGGTCAGTTCCGATGATCTCCGCGGCCTGTTGGGTGGATTGTCGCAGAGCATTCGGAACCTGGCCCATTCGACGTATGCCACCATCTCGGCGCTGGCCGACTAGCTAGAGTGAGGAGCCCCCGAACTAATTGTCAGCCTGGTCTAGATGATCTTGCTGCGGTTGTTACTCCTCCGGAGCCATGGAAACGGTGTACCCGGCAATGGCTGCGCCCGGCTTTTGGTGGTTACCTGTTCACTTACGCAGGTAGGGTCTTGCTCCAATCCCGTGACCCGACCTCTGACCTTGTGGCCTGGGCGGTCCTGTGGCCGATCAGCTGACGGCCGTCGAGGGGGAAACTCCCTTGGTCGAAGGCGATCGTATGGATTTCGCCTGTTCCGTGGTTCAAAGTATTGAAAGCAAGACATGTTCCTCGGTGGGACCTCTTCTGCCCAAGTTGAGGAGCAATTTGAAGTCCGGGGACACCTCCACAGAAGAGGAGAAGACCAAAAAGGACTCGGCGCCGGCAGCTGAAAAACGAGAAACACCGCCTGCGGCAGATCCGCCGGAAGAGGAGTAAGATCCAGCCAGGAAAGGAAGTAAGTCAGCTTTGATATCCAAATTTTTAGTAGCCTTCACTTTGCTTTTTGTCGGCTTTGTGTGATTCGAAACCAACAGAGCTCGTTCATTTTCTTTTGTAAAAAAATAAAATTAAATACGAAAATTTATTATTGTATTCGGGGAAAAGTATGTAACTGGTAGAAGGAAGCGTTTCCGACCTTATAAAGTATAATTATTCTTGATCAGGATCAAGAGTAATCTAGTCCGAGTCGATCTATGTCCGTCTGTCCGTCCGTCTGTCTGATCTCGGAAACTGTAAGAGCTAGAAGGTTCAAATTTTAGATTAAGATTCCTTATCTTCGTACGCAGCGCATGTTTGCTAAGCGAATATGCCAGGGACACAAATTTAATTTCATTTAAAAGGTCCACCAAAATCTTGTTAAAAAAATCTTGTTAACGAAAGACCCGACTTAAAAAAATGAGGTGTCATGCAAGCCAAAGAATACTACTTGGCAATTATCTTCAATGGCCCTAATAATATTATCTTCAATGGCACTAATATATCCAATAGTCTTAGATACATATAACTTTTACACTTTTACGTCTCTTTCTCCCGAACCCATGCGCGGATTCACAGGGGAATATATGGTATAGATCCCCCCACATTTAATATAATTGATTCAAAATTTTTGATTTCTACTCACGACCTTTATTTTTATGAGGTCACTTATGACCTTAAAAATATGCATTCTCTAGCACTGGGGCTTTAGGATATAGGGACTTGTTTTAAAGTAATTTTAAAAGTAGGGCAATAGTCAACATATTGTTATTTCTAGGTAAGGGCTAGTATTCAACCTAACAAAAAGTCGTCCAAAACCAAAAATTGTATATGAAAAAACGTCACAAAAATGTTGTGACGTTTTTTTTTTATGAAGTTTTTGGTTTTTGGACGACTTTTTGTTAGGTTGAATACTAGGCCTAAGCCATTACCTAAAACTAAAATTGTAGTCTAGCGCACTGTCTCTACGCGTACTGCCGACCACAGTCATATATTTTATTAAGTTTCATCCAAAAGCACTTACGGTAAGACTAGGATAGATAGGAAAATTGAGATGTGTGCTTAACTACTGCTGTTCTACGTTGTACGTGAGCCGGCAGAGACTGAGCAGAGCTATTCCCTATGCCCGATTAATGGGACTCTGCCGACCGCTGCTTTAAGTGTTATGTTGACTGAATTTTTATTATACACTTCAAGTAAAAAACGTTGAAATATGAAATGTACTTAAACTCTTTTTGCCCAATGTACATTGACAAATAAATAAATATTAAATATTGACAAGTATTTAATATCGGGATGCGCGTAACTTCGGATTCCTCTTGGTCTGGATTGGCTGCATTGCCTGCACATACCACACAATACCTCCGACGTGTGAGTTTGGCTGCCTTTTCCCAATGGGAAAAAGTTTGGGAAAGACGAGTCGGGAAGATAAGCGTCTCGTGCGAGTAAATGACCGGAAAAGGGACAGCTATGATTAAAATTTGAAAATTGCTTGGCAACTTTAAGAATCATTAAACCGTATGGCATAAAACTTCGCTTTGAGAATAAATCGCAAACATTTAAGACCACATTTATAAGAAACGGTTGGAATTTATTACTGTAGTCTCTTTTGAGGACCTCAAATTGAACCTAAAAGAAAGAAGGTTTTGTAAGACATAACTTTATAAGGAAGCTAACCTTTCAGGTGTGCTCACTGATATGTTATACAAGGGCTTTACGAGATCCACGTCCATTTGGGCCACAGCTTTGTTCCAGTTAACGGCCTTTAAACGGCACGAAGCGTTTGCCGAGAAACCGTTCACAGTCAGGCACTCGATATTTTTCATTTTGTACACAACGGAGGGATCGCATAGCTGGCAAATAGTAAATAAGTTTTCGAAAACATAAGAAAAGCATACCTATGGCTACTCACGACCCTCCAGGATAGGTAACTAACCAACACGGCTAAAACAATAGCATGCATGTTTCTCAAATGTATGGAACTGCTGTCATAGTATGTATATATTTTTAGTTTGGTTGCTACAGTCTAATGAGTATTTAATTGGTTTAGCTTTTTACAAATTAAACGAAATCTGATTTAAAAGAATTTATTCGAAATTGATTTGTTCAATATTAGGCAGTGTATCTAACTGACTAGCATTTAAAAGCTAAGCGAGAGGAACCTTAAAAAGTCGGTTAAAGGTTCGATTAGGGCATTCAGAACTGAAATTCAAATTCTGGTTACATTTTTAGCTGTGTGTATTGAGAGTGTTATTTCTTAAATATGGAGTTTTTCAACAAACTTTTAAAAATTTGAACATTTATTTATTCAAATCCCGGTATTCGTTTTTACTTACTTACAATAGTATACCTAAAAAAATGTTCAAGCAAGTGGAAAATGTGACCCAAAAAAGTTGTTGGATTGTAAGAGAACGGACCGTATGCGTATGGAGACAGTTCATTTCTATTGGCGAGGCACACACGAGCAAAGATATCTACTTAAATAATCATCACTTGTTAAATAATAGTCTGATATTCGGCATGTAGACTTATTGACAACTACCTTAAAGTGTATACTAGTTAAATTACCGTAGAAGGGATGTTCATATGCGTTAAATTGGAACTTGTGCTTCATTGACACTACTTAAATCTACTTTAACATGGACAGCCGGTCTGTCATGGGCATGGCAAGATCGGCTTTTCTAGCAACCTTAACATCTTTCAAGGAGTACAAAAACCTTTCAAACAGTCCAGTTTATCAACTCTAATGCAGCTTTTTCTGAATAAGTAAATTTTTTGTAGTCCTATATTACGAAAGACCATAATAAAAACAACTGACTTTAGAAAACTATACCTCAATGAGCATATATATTTCAATGATGGCTTCCCGATTCGTAACATTAACAAACACTATGACTATATGAAATTCGTTTAGGCATTAACATTCTTTTATATACCCGGTCCGAAGTCAATCTCGACTATTATTTAGTCACTGACGCGGGCATAGACCACGACCGTGCGAGAGGGCGTGTAGACCTCAATAAAGTTTGATCGGCCGGCGTAACCTTCCGGGTTGGAGGGGTGCTTGCAGTTGGCATCGATGCGGTTGTGTCCGCCGAAGAGCGGATCGTCTGAGGAGAGCACCGCCTGGTAGGTGCCCGCCCAGTTAGTGCCCACGCGGTAACCAGTGAAGCTCCGCTGGGGGTGGAAGTTGAAGACGAAGACCAGGCCGGCACGCTCGAAGGCGATGATTTTGTCGCCTTCATGTTTCCAGCTGACCCAGGCTGGTCCGGAATGCAGCCACCCGAAACGTTCCTCTGCCTCGTTCATGGCCCGATCAAACTCGTTGAGGTACTTGTACTTCAGCATGTCGTCGTCCACCAGATTCCACTGCCGGCGAGCATAGTGGTACGAGTCGTTGTTACCGACGCGTGGGAAGTCCAGCCACTCAGGATGACCAAACTCGTTGCCCATGAAGTTAAGGTAGGCCTCTCCTCCTAGAGCGTGAGTGATCAGGCGGATCATCTTGTGCAACGCCAGTCCGCGGTCAATGATAACCGAGGAGTCCGACAACGTCGACATGTGCGTATACATCTCTTTGTCCATCAGCCAGAAGGCTACCGTCTTGTCGCCCACCAGCGCCTGATCGTGGGACTCTGCGTACGCAACAGTGTTCTCCATCCAGCGGCGGTTGGTCAGCGTATGCACCAAGTTGCCCATGTTCCACTCGTCGTCACTCTGCTCCTTGAGGAGCTCGATCCACTTGTCTGGAATGGCCATACCCAGGCGGTAGTCGAATCCGATGCCGCCCTCCGAAACGGGGCGACACAAGGTTGGCATTCCGGATACATCCTAAGGCGAATAAAAAAGGGTTTCAGTTGTAAAACAAAGCATTAATGTATTGGACGTAAGGGTGTTCTGCAAGGCCAGTCAGATCTTAAACATTAATTAAAATTACAAAAAAACATATCTTCTGTATGTTAAATATATTTTGTAGAATAGGATTCGCTACTTGTATTAAAAGATTATGAAAACTTTTGTGAAAGTTCATGTCATGGGATTAACTTCACGATACGAGCACACTAGACGAGCACACTACTTACCTCTGCAATAGTAATAATCCTCGGATCTAGGGTGTGCAGCAGGTGATTTGCCAGTCCCAGATAATTGAGGGCATCCGTGTCAACGTTCAGGCCAAAGTACTCGTTGTAGTCGCCACTAAAACCCTCACCGATGCCCCGGGAGTGGTAGAGCATGGAGGTGACTCCGTCGAAGCGATATCCGTCGAAGTTGTACTCGTCGTGCCACCAACGCAGGTTGGACAGCAGGAACCGCAGCACCTCGTACTCCACGTAGTTGAAGAGACGGCTGTCCCACAGCGCGTGCTCTCCACGGGCTCCGTCGTGGAAGAAGCAACTGTTGGTTCCATCGAACTGGTTGAGGCCGTCCTGGACGTTCTTGGAGGCGTGCGAATGGACCACATCGAGGAGAACAAAGAGCCCATGCGAGTGAGCCACGTCGATCATGCGCTTCAGTTGCTCCGGGTTACCGAAACGACTCGAAGCCGCATAGAAGCTGGTCACCTGGTAGCCGAAGCTGGCGTAGTATGCGTGCTCCATGATGGCCATCACTTGGATACAGTTGTAGCCCTGGCGCTTGATGCGCGGCACGATTCGGTCGGCGAACTCGTCATAGCTGCCGACCCGCGGCTCCTGGGAGGCGATGCCCACGTGGCACTCGTAGATCCTCAGGGACTTTGGCCTGGCCGGACCTTGGTGCTGGCGCTGGTAGCGCTCGTAGGACGGCGGCTCCCAAACGTACTGCTTGTAGTTGACCCCCTGGTTGGCCGACTTGGGCGGCTGCACCACGTACTTGGCCCATGGAGACAGGCGGTCCAGCAATTGTCCGGAATGATTGCGAATGATAACCTTGATTTCGCTCATGTGCTTTATGGCCGGACTCCCATCCTCGTTGGGGGGCAGGTGCAGCTCCCACTTGCCAAAGTCGAGCTTTTTGAACGGATGCGACTCCCAGTGCCAGTTGTCTGTGGGGTAAAGGCAATCGGTTAAACTGGTGCTATTGAGCCTGGATAGAGGACGACTTACTGAAATCACCCGTAAGGTATACATCTCTGGCTCCAGGTGCCCACTCTCGGGCAATCACCGAATTGTCGGGCTGGAAATGGAGGCCGTAGTATTTGTAGCCCTGCGAGAACTGCTCCAGTCCACCTTCGCCCTGGTTTATTTTATTTAGCCAATCCTGGAGAACGCCGTGTCTATGGGTTAAATAACGATAATGTTTAGAAAGAACCAGGATGGGAATGAACTACACATAGTAGTGTCAAAGTTATTTTTAGACTTTTCTTGATTTGAAGAGGTCAACATTTTAATTAAATGTTTTTCTGATTATAAGTAAAAGGAATTAAGCTAGTATGGGTATGCTCAGCATAGGGTATGCTGATATGTAAATATTGTTCGTGCGATGGTATAATCAAGTGTATTGCATCTGCAGGTGAAAACAAAGTTTCGAAGACATATCGAACCAATTACATATGCAGTAGGAGCTCTCATCCTTTTTTTCACCTAACAATATAATTAATTAAATAATTTAACTAATTATATTTAAATAATATTTAAGCTGAAAAATTTCAGTTTTTCAGAGCGATTACTATATAAACAATTACTAATTGAAAAAGTTCAAAACTATTGTTCACAAATTATAAAACAATTAGCAAATGTTGATAATAAATAAAATTATATTTAAATCAAAAAACAGCCTCGTTGGTTACCAAAAAAATAAAGTTCCCGGCACACCTTTTAAAGGAGAAAAACCTTATTAACGGTGCCTGATGAACATGGTATTTCCCTTAGAATAAATCCACATCCATTAAAGATAAGAAACGAAAACGTTAAAAAAAACCATCTTAAAATCGCAATGTTTTCCGCTCAAAAACAGAAACCAAAACAAAATACGTAAAGGCGGAAGAGCCGCTGAAACGCGAAGATTTGCAGTGGTGCAAAAATAGAAAAGACGCTGGCACAATTTGGGGACCCGGAGAGTGCCTCCAAGGCCAAGATCCATGCTCCAAACACGCCGGCAGCACGCAGCGAACACATTTGTATAGAATAGTTTCACCAAACACACACAGACCAACCAACACACACGGGGCGGGGCGGCAAACACCGGCGACCTTCATTCGACATTGCGAACGCAGTTTTTCCAACTGCATGTCACCGGGGCGGCAAGAAGCTGATACGGCCGCAGCATGGGTTACGGGTTACGGTTCGGTTGGCCTATAAAGTTACGCCGCACCGGCTTATCAGCATGGAGCGCATAAAGCCGGCGCCAACCTTGGGTTACATGATGTGGATGTGGAGGTGGATGGAGCAGCAGCCACCCATCGGCGGCTGGAAAACGGAGCTCTACTCACCGGCGACGGATCTCGTGCTCGTGGGAGCGTAGGTAGCCATCCGTCTCGAACAGCTTCTCGATGTCCTTAACCTCGACCATGGCGGCGGAGAATGAGTCCGAGAGATTCTCGGTTGGCAAGCGGAAGAAAGAGTGGCGGAGGCGGTGGCGGTGGCGAAGGCGCTGCTGGTTTGCCTGTTGACCGACGACTGTGCTCATTTATCAGCTGCAGTCCCACTCAAAAGCTCCGCGGCGAGCGGAGCTTTCGCGCGGATCAGCTGTTTTGCAGCTTTGCCTTTTGCGCCCCCCATTCGCGAATGTAAACATCGAAAGGGACCGCCGTAATTGCATGTTTTTGTCGCCAAACGTTGCGTATTCGCACTGATAGCTGATAGCACCTGGGTACATGGTGCACAGTACGTATACGCCCAATTGCCGCTGATTGCTGATTGCCGATTGCCGACTGACATATTTGAACCGGCATCGGAGCGTTATGTGGAAAACATCATGATTCGGGGTCGTCCTGGTCAAGTTCATCAGATGACTGAGGCTGAATACATGAGTTTGAAAGTCGAAGGGTTATGATTATTAGTTACAGATTAGGGCGCTCCCCAGCGACAGCATGTAATTTAAATTGTTGCCGGAATTGTTTGATTCGGCATGTTACCGCGCCTTTAAGCTGAAAGATAAGATATGAAAATGTTTACCATTCTCTATTTATTGAAAGTGATACATGATAAAGATAATAAATGAATATGTAAATCAATAAAAATGTATTAGCCCATAACAACAAAATAAATATAATATATATCAGGGGTGCCACAGAAATCAGATACACATAAAAAACTAACTTCCATACAACGCTTTGCGATTTCTGTGGCACCCCATATACATAATATTAAGCTGAATGTACATACTTTCTTTTTTGTTTTTTGTCAAAACTAAACCATTTAGGTTCGATCTCGATGATTTGGGTAATTCATATAAGATGTCGACATAAAAGTAATCGTAAGTGTTGAGTCACATTATTCTACCTTAATCAGAATAATAAAATTGGGCGTGATTTCGAAGACTATTGTTGTGCAGCAGTTGTATACCAAGTAACCTTAAAAGTTTTATTTAACCAGCTCTCTTATCTGAAACTCGTAATCTTTGCAAATTTTTCGAGATTAAAAGTTTTTATTACAGTGCAATGCAACTTAGAACATTGTGTTCGTGCGCAAGCCTATCATTTAGCTTAAATAACTCATACTGGACTGGTCGTGAAAAAACGATTAGGAAAAGGGGGCCTTAAAACTTAACAAGACCCTTGTCGGAAAACCTTCCTTTCTAAAAGGTAGGCTTAAAGGACGGAGCTGGAAACACTCTCGATGACCTCAAAAGCGGTGGCTATGTCCGCATCTTCCAGCAAACGATTGACGGCAATGCGAATACTGGGACGCACTGGTTGGCGTTCTCTGTTCTGCAGATAGGCAGCCTGCACCACGGCCACTCCTCGAGCAATGCACTGTGGAAAGTATAGGAAGTATAGTTTTCATGATTCCATACAGGGGAGCACAGAATACCTTATCGGCCAGCTCTGTGAGCAGTTTCAGTTCCTTGTCAAAGTTGTCGGCCGGCTGCGCCAAATACAGGTGCTTCACAGGCGACAGTTCGTTTCCTCGCAGGGTCAGCTTGCTGAAGCGCGAAAACTTCTGATGCAGGGCCTTAGACTTGGCCTGCAGTTGCTCGAAGATCTTCGGTTCCCGTTCAAAGCGATCAAGGGCGGAAATGGCCGCCTGGGTCAGCATAGGCGGCAGGGAGGCCGAGAATATGTAGCCCAATCCAGAGAGTCGCTGGTGCTCGGCTATGAAGTGCGAGCCCACGCAGAAGCCGCCAATGGTGGCCATGGACCCCTCCATTCCGGCTGATATTAGATCGACCTCATCGCGCTGAAAGTATACACATGATAATGCCTGGTTTCCCTAACAGTTTTCCACCTACATCGACATTAAAGTGCTCCGTAACTCCGTGGCCACCCTGGCCCAAGGTACCGAAGGAGATGCTCTCGTCGATAAACAGACGCAGCTTGTACTTCTGACGCAGGGCCACCAACTGTGGTAGTGGGCAAATCTCGCCGGTGTTCATATAGATGCCCTCGGCAACGAGGAAGCGGCGAGTCTTGAGCGCCTTTTTAGGATTCTTCTGGTCGCGCTTCTCCTGTTCAATCAGCAGACGCTCCAGATCCTGGACGTCATTGTGCTTAAAGAAAGCGACTGTGCTGCGCGAGGCATCTAGGCCTTTCTGAATGGCGAAGTTAACAGCCTCATCCCTGCAAGGAATGAGTCAATAGAAGCCACTATTCAGGATAGATTGAGAGTCTTACACAAAGATAATGTCGCCACGCTTGGCATACGCTGGGATGGCACTAGCCACCGTTGAAAATCCGTAGGAGTACACAATGGCCTCCTCCAGACCCATGAACTTGGCAATTCGATCCTCCAGGTCAAGGTGCACATCCATGGTGCCGTAAAAGCCCCGAGGTCCGCAAGATCCTACGCCATACTTGCGCAGCGACTTGCAGGCCTCCTCCAGAATCTCCTGGTCCTCGAGGAAGCCCAGGTAGTTGTGGGAGCCCAGGTTCAGGCAGTCGTGTCCATCGACCCTGATGTGCTTGCCCACTTTCGACTGGACGATGCGGGTACGCAGCAGCGGATGGTTGGGATCGGTATCCGCCACCAAGGGCTCTGGTTCATAGTCGGCGATTATACGGTCCTCCTCCTCCTTGGTCAGCCGGCGGCGACGACCTCCTCCTCGCCTGTGCAGCAGCAGCCAGATCACGGTTATGACCAAAAGGGTCTCCAAAACGAGGGCAAACGTCGGGGTCTGTGGCGAAGAACACAAAGTTTAACCGGCTGAGGAAAAAGCGGTGACAAAACGAAGGCCAACTTACGTTTCGGAAAATACTGCCGATCTCGTTGAACAACTGGATGGCCACCATTTTGGGAGTTCAGTTCTGTGCCCTCTCTGCGGAAAAATCAATTGAAACCACCGTGATTCCTTTGAAGTATGTGTCATGCAGACGACGCTTTCTTATCGCCATGCCCATGGCAATTATCAACCATACGGCGCGGAATTCTTTTGAATTGGGTGTATAGGCTGACATAAACCATTATCAAGCAGATGGAAAATTCTAGCCCATCCCCCATTTTGCTATTCTCTTGACTTTTATTTTAATTCAGAATGAGCACTCACCAAAAAAGACGGTAAAGAAATATTATAAGGCGTGTTATGATATCCGCCAAGCAGCTGTTTAATAAAATGTACTAAAAAATACCAATGGATATTTTTGAAATTCTTCGGGTGCGAGCTTTAAGCTCACACCCACAAAGCTTTCAAAAAAATTTTATTTTTTGAAAATATTACCTCCATTAAGAAAAAATGCAGCACTATATTATGCGGATTTTATAATTTATGCCAATGTCGCAAAGGAAACCTTATTCCTTGTTTTATATGTAGTATTATAGCTAATAATATAGAGATTATATTATTAAAGTCTCATAATGGAGAAAAATATTATTTTTTAAAAATGACTATTTGCAGCAGACATAAATCTTCAATATTTTATTACTACCCTGCAGATCCGCAATTCATCAACGCCCAAAATCATCAATAGATCATCAACTCGAAGTCGCAGACCCGAAGCTTTTATTCGACAATCTTAGGGAACCGACTCTCCTCTCATTCTCTCTGTTTCATAAAGTAAGGAAATGAAGGTTTCACGAAATTGTGCATTTTGTATATAAATTCATGCATGATTAAAAATCAAACTAAGTTTATTTGATAAATTCCTGATGAATGGGAATGCACTGAGGGGTGAGGGGTTTGGTCAATAGTTTCTTAGTTTTTAACTATGTACAATATTTGGAGGTTCGATTATCTCAGGGTATACTATATTTCACCCGAAGATATTTTTTCGTCACCTTTCACACAAATAAAAACTCCACTTGGTTAGTTTTTTCAATGTATAGATTTATTTGTTAATGTTTCTTCTCTAATGCTTTCCTTTCAATTGTTTGCGTTGATTGTAAAATTAAAACAATAATGATAATAAAACGTTAAAACAAGTTGTACTGCCTAGATACGTAGTGCCAGATTAAAGACCGAGTTTCATGTAATTGCTTTGTCACTGTCAAAGAGAAAATGCTTTGTGGAAAATGAAAAGCAAAACATTATGCAGGTTTAATTTATAATGAAATAGCTAGTCTTCATGGTACACATTTCTTCTGTGGGTTGGGTAAGAATTTTGATTGAGGGATTGACCTCGTAGTTGTTTGGTTCGGACTAGCCCAAACTGGCTAAACTAAGTTAATTTTGTTTTTACTGTTTGTTAATCTTTTAAAACTATTTTATAAAGTTTAGTTCAGATTTGTGGTTTTACTCCTTCCGCGACAATGTAGAGGGGTCTTGACTGGTGGAACAGGGTTGCACAATGCATTCTACTTCTTGTCGGCGCCCGCATTGGATTGTGTGGAGTACGAATATTGAGACCAATAATGGTTGGTGGCACCGCCATCATTATTCCCTGCGGCGCCTCCGACATTGACGCTCGCTCCGCCACTGGCATTACCGGCCGCTGCTCCGCCAGAGCCCTGTTGCTGTTGCTGAAAAAGCAAATGTGATCTCTAGTATTCAGCATTCCAACTCCTGGTCCCAGGCCCCTCGCTTACCTGCCACCAGGACATCCACTGCTGTTGCTGCTGCGGATCGGCACTCTGCCAGGCCTGTTGGTTTCCGTAACCTGTTCGCAAATCACCAAATTCGTTAGTTGTTGCAATTTAATAACCGTGCAATGCTGTACCCACCCTGCATTTGATTATAGGCCCAATATTGTTGTTGGCCCGCCGCCGCTTGCTGAGGCTGTTGGTACTGTTGTGACTGCTGCTGAGTCTGCCAGACGCCCGTTTGCTGATGCTGCGGCGCCTGTTGCTGCTGATGGTGTTGGGTGTACGTGCTCCACTTGCCGCCAAGAGAGGCCTGGAGAAAAGATCTCGATTAGTTAGCAACGGAATGTCCTGGTGCCCATGCACTTACCTTGCCTCCGCCGGGTGTTCCACCCGCCTGCTGCTTGTACTGATCGTAGCCTCCGCCGGCACCGGTGTTATTGCCGTACTTGGGCAGCGCTTGACCAGCTGACCGCTCATAGCCACCGCGACTATCTTCTTTGGTGTCGCGGTGGCCAGGCCGAAAATCCCGTTGTTGATGAGTACCACCTCCCGAGCGATAGCTGCTCTGGCTGCTGCCCCTGTTGCGGTCATTACTTCCCATCCGACTGCGGTCGTTGCCGCGGTCTCGATCGCGGTAGTCTCGCGAGCTCCCGTAGGCTCGATCGTCATACCCACTTCTGCGGTTGTTCTGCATCCAGTTTTGCTGACCACCACCACCGCCGCCGCCGCTGCCACCGGCGTATCCGCGGTTGCGATTGTCGTAGCCACGACTACCGCTTCCACCACCGCCGCCGCCATAGCCGCGATCGTCGTAGCCGCTCCTGCGACTGTTTTGCACCCAATTTTGCTGGCCACCGCTTCCGCTGTTGTAGCTGCGGCGATTGTCATAACCACGGCTGCCGCCTCCTCCGCCTCCACTGTTGCTGGAGTAGCCACCGCCGCCGCCTCCCCGCCTCGAATCGCTCCACCTACTTTCGTGTCGCTGGCCACCATATTCGCGTCGTCGGTCATCGTTGTAACGATTCCGGTTCCGGTCGTCACGACGATAGTTGTCGCGCCCTCCCCGAGACCTCTTGTCGCGGGACCTTTCCGCGTCGATGGCCTTCTTTCCCTTCTCGTTGTACTTCTTGACCTCGCTCTTGGCCTCGTCTCCGGTTAGCTCCGTGTAGTTTATGTCATCAAACCAGCCAAACTCCAGCGAGGGAAGTGTGAAGTTGGCTGGAAAAAGATTACGTGTATTTCATTAGTACGACTGCATAGCAAGCAAATTAGTTCGTTATCTTTACATATTAGGCATTATTGTAGACGGACAATAAGGGGCAGGACGGGTCAATTGTCAGCAACTGGGCGTATAAAGTCAGAATTAAATTTGTTTACAAAACGATTTTTCAATAACAATTTAAGGAAAGGATTTTAAGCATTCATATTGAATTGCAGTCTTCTAGGAATAGTTTTTGATGGCGAAGAAATTAAACATTTATACGCTCCAGTTGCCACGGGTATTTGTGGGTCGTTATAGAATAAATATTTATGAATAATGGAAATAATAAGCATTAAATTATGAGATAATTTTTAAGGCTTACAGTTACAATTACGTACAGATACATAAAGTGCAGCTGCTTACAAACTAAATACTTTACATAACTTTTTATATTGCTTTTCTTTTTTACAAGACTGTCTCCTTATTTACATAGGTAGAACATAAGTTATACGATCGTACATTATTCTGGATATTTTTCAAATCGTTGCTTTGGTGTGGTGAACAATATTTACCTCGTAAGTTATTAATTGTTGATTCTTTAACTGTAAAAGCATTTCCCTTTTCCTCTTTTTCGGCGATGCGACGTTTCAATTCATCTTCGCTGGGTATGCAAACAACCGCAATGCGCTTGAAGTCGTTAAAACCCTTCATTTTACGTCGCTGGGCCGAGGCATATACATTGGTCTACAAGAATACAGTTGATCGGTTGGTTGGTGTTTTGTTGAATTGGGTTCAGATATTGTCTGCCAGTTGTAGTTTGGATGGATTGGTTTGGTTGTTGGGGTAGTCGTCGAACGGATAGCAAGCCATTTGAGAAACACGTTGATGATTCGGCTCGGTTGCCAGGCGACAGGTGCAGACCCCGGAAGACGTACTCGTTCCTGTCGAGACCCGGCTCGCATGGAGCTCGGGTTCCGCGCTTACAAGCTAACACATACCTGTTGTACGGCGGGTCACCCACTTCGTGCCCGCATTCCGCAGGGGAGGGGTCTTAGGGAAGGGGCGCGCGCGCCAACATAATACCTAGGGGCCTCGGCTTAAACCGGCCACATCTAACAACAGTTGACTTAATACTTTGCATAAGGATAATAGAATTTACAATGGGGTAAAAGTAGTCGTGGTTGGCTGTGCTGCTGGCTGTAGGATGAAGCATCGCATAGCTCTCTGTAGATACACATACATATATATGAGATAGTTGGCATTTAGAGAGAGAGATAGAGAGTAGAGATAGTAGGTACTAATACGTATATGTGATTAGATTGTAGGCGAACGACTCGTCGATCGGATTTGTGTTTGTCTACTTACAGTGGCTTCCATGCCGCTCGCTCCTCCTTCACTTCACTCCATTCCATTCCATTTCACTCACTCATCTTTCTCCAATGCCATTTCCATATCCACTTCCATCCCCTTTTCTTACAATGCCCTCTTAACTGCCCCGTCAACTGTTGCACCTGCACCTAAAACTTAAGCTTACGGGTATGCCACAGATACTTACTGCCTCAAACTTAAGCACTTAAATATCGGATCGACTTACAGTTAGGACATACCTGCCTGCCGTGTTGGCACCCCTCTGGGGCACTTGGGATCTCTATGGTTAGAGCAATGAGCAATTAAATTCATACTCAAATGTACAGAACAAAAAAAAGTAGAGCAACTTAGTTGCACCCTGTTGGTGGGCCACCTCGTCCCAAGAGGATCAGAGCCCCAGTGGGATGGCCGGGCGCCAAAGTCATCATCAACGTATAATTCTCGCTTGTTTCGTTTTGTGTTTGGTTATCGTTCGTTCATAGTGTTATCTTTTGTTTGTGGGCTGGTGTTTTGTTTCGGGTGTGTGTGAAACAGTTGTTTATGTTTTACCTGATCTAGTATGAAATTGCGACGCCGCTTCATGGCAATATCTTCCAGAGCCGCCAGGCTGTTCAAGCATATCTCGTATACCTTGTCCCAACGGCCTTTGTGCACGGTCTTTCGGGAGGCTCCATCGATCTGCAAAAGGTGAAGTGAGTATTTAACACTAAATAGTCTTTAGCATATAGGGATTATTAAAAAATCTACGCACCGTCATCTTAGAAATGAATGAATCGGGTCCAATGAACTCGTAACGTTTGTCGGCGTTCTCGGCCACATGCTTAAGGGCCCAATGGGTTTTTCCAGACCCGGGTAAACCGACCAGCAGAATGACTTCGCACTCCTTGCGAGAACCTGCGCGTTGTGGACCGGGAACAAGCTGTTCGACAGGCACCAGACCAATCAGTACATAGCCTTCTAACAGGGCAGCCGTTTCCCTTGGCTCGGGCACGACATCCTCATATTCATCCTCGGTCGTCTGCGACTTTTCCTTCTCCTTCTCAGATTCAGCTTTTTCTGAATCTTCGTCGGTCTTGGGGCGCTTGTTTGGCGACGGGCCGTCCTCATCCTCTTCGTCATTGGCGTCAGAGGGCTTCTTCTCCTCAGGTTGCTTTTCATCGTTGGCTTTTTCTGCAGATGCATCACCATTGGCCACAGCTGCCTTCTCTTCAGAGGTTTCAGTAGAGGTCTCAACTGAAAAGACACAATACGCAATAATTAACGATTTCAGTTAGGTGTTTTGCATAATATTTACACTTACCAGTTTCCGAAGACTCGGTAGCTTCTGGCTCCGGCTTAGAAGTTTCAGAAGAATCCTGCACTTCAGCCTCGGCTTTTGTCTCAGCTGTCGCGGCCGACTCATCCTCTTTGGCATTTTCTGGTTTTTCGCCTTCCTCTTCGTCTTTATCCGAAGACGCCTTGCCGTCTTCTTCCTTTTTCTCCACCTCATCGTCGTCAGCCGTGGCTTCGTCCAATACCTTCCACTTTTCGCCGTCGTTATCATCCTTGTCGTCGTCCTTGTCCTTATCTTCGTCTTTGCGCGGCTTGCGGCGCTTGCGCGTTGGCCTCTCGGCATTGACCAACAGCTGCTCGGTGTCTGAGAAATTCACCGAATATTCGTAGCCCTTGGTTACAATGTGCGGAAATAGGGCTCCATCCTCGCCCAGAATACTCTTCTCAAACTCGAACGCTACACCGAGATCCTCTCCGTTGAGAGTGTAATTAATGGTGCAAGGCTCACTCTCCAGATCCATATAACAGCCGATAACGTCATCCAGCTTATAAGGTTTGCCGTAGTCGGAAAACTCGCCCTGATTGGCCTTTCGCCCGGTCTCGCAGTAGCCAAACGAATGTTTGTCCTCGCCCAGCAAAAGAGTGCTCTGGGCCACAGAGAAGCCCACCCGAAAGCCCCGTACATGCGGCTCATCCTTGAAGTAGTGCGAGTTCTCAGGGACCGACTCCTCAGCCAGGCGCACTTCAAAGCACACTTTGCCTTCGCGCACTCCGTAATTAGCGCGAGCTCCGGACCAAATCAGCGAGTAGATCTCCGAAGAAAGAGGTTTAGCAGAGGCAAACGTGGTCGGATCAATGCGTAAATGCAAGTCAGAATCCACTGAAAGAGAAAGACATCGAAATTTTAGTTGCACTGCACTTTTTAGACTTATTTTAAAAACTAAATTTATGTGGAACCTAATTAAATTTAGATTCTTAAATTAAGTAAAAAACTAAATAAAATCAAAACAAAAACTTTGGAATGAGGTTTGAACTCAGAGCTTTGATTTAAAGGTCAAGGCACCATCGAGTAACAGATCAAAAAACTCCATGATTAATACTCGTGCAGAGAAATAGAGCTCTGCTGTGATATGATGAACCAATCCGTAGCGATAACCAGAAAATTTGTAAGATTTTATTTAAACCATTGTATGATTTTTTTTTTTAATTTTTTCTCAACATTTTTTGTTTTTACACAGATATGAATTCTACGCAATGCTAATAAAGATGTACCTAATCTTATTTTTGATCACAAACTACTTACGCCAGCTCAATCCCACTTTGTTCTCCTCGATAGTGGGTTCGTCCTCGGGAACTGTGCGCTCCTCGGCGGCTGCCTTTGAGTCCCGTCTGTCGCCCACACTGCTGCGATGCTTGGGGGAACGAGAGCCACTGCGCGAGCGGGATCGCGAACGACTGTGCGAACGCTTGCGGCGCTCCTGGGGCTGATCCCCTGACTTGGCTGCGGCCTCGGCATCTCCCTCCGCTTTCGGGGCGGCCGACTCCTCTTCGTCGACGTCCATTTTCTGGCTGTCACCATTGGACTGAGGCTTAGCCACTGTGGCTTCGCCTTCTTTCTCCTCATTTGCCTCGTTGGCTTGTGTCTGCTCCTGTTCCTGCTCCTCTGTAGCAACACCTTGGTCTTCCTCCATGGGTTCATCGACCAATTCATCTCGTGGAGCGGCGGCTGGGGCTTCCTGTTCGACCACATCCTCCTTGTCGCCTGCTTCTGATTTCTCATCTGACTCGTCGACCTGTGGCTCTGACTCCTGATTTGCCGCCTGGTCTGTGGATGTGTCCTCTGCCTCCGCTACTGGTTCAGCTTCCTCCGGCTCACTTGCTTCTGGTTCCGGTTCTGGCTCTGGTTCTGGCTCAGGTTCCTGTTCGTGCTCAGGTGCTGGCTTCTCCTCTGGCTGCTCTTCCTCTTCCAGGGTATCGAGCACGGGTTCCGCGGCCACCGGAGCAGCTTGTACCGGCGATGGAGAGCGGGACATGGAGCGCGTGCGGCGCTGACGGCGGCTCGGTGTGACCGGCGCATTATCTGGCGGCGGGGAAGTGAAGGGTGATTACTAGGCATTATATAAGGTAAACTTACATCTAATTCACGCTGAGCCACACTCGCACACACACATAATTCGGACGCGGCAAGCCATACACACAGATACAAAACGGGCGCACAAATGACGCATACACACAAACTCACCTCCGTCGCCGGCTCCTCCTTCCACATATGCCCTCAGGCGCTCCACGAGCACTGCCTTGACTCCCTTGGTGTCCAGGCCACGCGACTGAAGCTCGTTTCGAAGGTCCACCACCTTCATCTTCTCCAGCTTCGCCACATCCATTTTTCCGCTTCAACTTTGGATTGGCGGCAGAAACACACGCTCACTCACACCAACGCACCGCTGAAAAGCTGGCGATGCGAAAAAAAGAATATGGGGGATTAAATGCCAAACCGCGCTCTCTGGCAAATCGCACTCGCTCTGAAATTGTCACCAAAGTCAAGTCACAACGTTTACTAGCACCGTGCGCGCACAATTTAACCACAATATTCGCTTTTGCATTCGCATTCGTTGCGAATAAATAAATGGCCCGAATCTTATACACCGACGCGTTGAAGTGAAGTTGGCTGCGATTGAGAAAACGTAGGGCTGCAGGGCAGCGATTCGATACATGTGCTCGCGCGGCTATCGATAGCAATTTATGGGTTTTCAACGTCAGATGGCGCTGTTGTGCTGTATTTGCGAAATTATTAATAATAGGATATTATATTAGTTGTATATTATAAATGGCAATTATTTTTATTAAAATTAAAATATGTCAAGGGTAGAGAGTGTTACGATTTTCCAATTACTTTTACAATAAATCTAAGTTATAAAAGGTGTTGAATTGTTATGACCTAGTGGTTGTTGGCCATCTGGCGACCATTTTCATATCGACTCCGTGGCGCAACGGTAGCGCGTCCGACTCCAGATCGGAAGGTTGCGTGTTCAAATCACGTCGGGGTCAGCATAGAGACGTTTTTTTTTTATGTGAATACAAATTTGCCACAGAAATCCCTTCAAAAGTTGTGTCAAATTTATATTGATGCATATAGGAAACATACGTTTTAAAAATCGACATTTAAGGTAAGATTTTCCAAAATGAAAAAAAAAAGTTGTTGCATCGGCCGGGAATCGAACCCGGGCCGCCCGCGTGGCAGGCGAGCATTCTACCACTGAACCACCGATGCTTATGAAAAAATTGCCATGGCGTAAATATAGATATGCTTCAATGACTAATCCAGTATAAATCCCTATTCCAATATTCAGAGTAAGAAAAACCCGTATTCTACACTTTAGCTTCAATTCCTCTTAATATTAAATCAGCAGTGCCACAGAACTGGTTTTTTGCTGGTTCCAAATAGCTGACTGTTGGTTCCATCAAATTAACTATGAACTTATTTCACAGTGGACGGTGTACATACAAATTAGGACGCAGAAATTGAAATCTGCTACGATTGTACGATCAATGCGATTTCATACAGAGACTTGACTTTTGAAATATCAAAAGAGAAAGGGTGGATGAGTTACGCGTTAGTTGTCTAGAAGAAATTATAATTTTTTTGGCACCAGTGGATTCATCGGTCCTGTGGCGCAATGGATAACGCGTCTGACTACGGATCAGAAGATTCCAGGTTCGACTCCTGGCAGGATCGGAGATTTTTTTTTTACACGAGCTTTTTGTTGTAAAAATGTTGTTAGGATAAGTATGCTTTCAAAAATGATCTCTACTTGGTTTTAATACATTTTTTGTTCTTTGATTAAGTTTATATTTTGCTGAAGAAAATACTATCAAAACGAAAAAACATGACAGTTCGTAAACATAATATTCTTTTATATTTCAGGTGGCGTTTAGCTAAGATCAGAGGTCACAAGTATGTGCTCTAGGTTTTTACCTGCGATTTTAAGGTTTTTAAAGTATTTAATAGTTCTATTTTATAAAGATCGGACCACAAATCAGCAAAATATGGTAAAGCGAATCCTTGCATTGAAATTTCAGCCTCGATTTGATGAAAAATGGTATGCCATTTGGGATTTACATAAAGCAATTTTTAAACCCGTTACTCGTAGATTAAGTGGGTATTTGTTATAAAGTTTTTTAAGTAAAACAAAAACGATTTGGGATATCAATGGAACGCCTTATTTCTCGATTTTTTTGCATCACCACGTGCACGCTTGCAGAAGTCCAGACTCTGAACGCTATTTTCGACGGGTTTGTTCAGCATAAATCGGCCGATACTGCCGAAAAATATGGCGTCGTTCCCGTCGCTTTCTGCCAAAATTATGTCGCTGCTAAACGCCATAAGATCGCGTGAAATTATGTCGTTTAAAAAGTACTTGTGCCGAACTTATGTCGTTTTAAAGTGACATAAGTCCGCTGAGGACTTACCCGCAAAATGTATATATTTGTTGTTATTATTATTTCTATGGGAGCTATAAGATATGGTTTTCCGATCCGGCTAGTTCCGACTCATATACTACCTGCAAAAGACATAAGGCTTTTGGTAAAGTTTAAGCCCGATAGTTTTAAAACTGAAAGACTAGAAACGGACGGACAAACGGACATGGCTAGATCGACTCGTCTAACGATGCTGGTCAAGAATATATATACTTTATAAGGTCGGAAACGTCTCCTTCACTGCGTTACTTAAGTCATAATACCCTCTGCAGGGGTATAAACAGATTACTGAAGGCAATGACAAATCAATTGTTTGTAGTGTATTATCAGTTTGCACTTCGAATTTTCTATTTAATGTGTTTCTTTAACTTTTTACACATGCGTACATGAAGAAGTACAACCTGAACAAGAAAGGAAGATAACTTCGGCAAGCCGAAGTTTGTATACCCTTGCAGTTATAATTAAAAAAATTAATGAATACAAAAAATCATATTCCCAATAGTATATATGACAGAAAACACCGAAGCTATAATTTGTTTCATATTATTTTCCCACCAATTTTCCGATCGTTCCTATGGCAGCTATATGATGCAGTCGTCCAATTTTGATAAAATTTAATTTGAAATTAAGCGATAGGTATTGATGAGAAACAATACATTTCAGTTAACATTTTTATTCTAGCATCAAAACTGTAGGAGCGTTAAGAAGCTCAGGAATCTACATGCCAAATCACAATAGCCTAGCTCTTATAGTTTCCGAGATCTCAGCGTTCATCCGGACAGACAGACAGACGGACATGGCTAGATCGACTCGGCTAGTGATCCTGATCAAGAATATATATACTTTATGGGGTCGGAAACGCTTCCTTCTGCCTGTTACATACTTTTCGACGAATCTAGTATACCCTTTTACTCTACGAGTAACGGGTATAGACGCTAGGTGGCTGCATGCATATCTCCATCTCTCTCACACTCGATTGAATTTGCTAACTATTGATTATTAATTGGCTATACATTTTTAATGAATGATCCGATTTGAATATTTTAGGCCAGTAGGTTGGTATTGATAATAAGAACAAAATATCATTTACAATTTCACAAAATCTTTAAAAATGTGGGTGCTAGAAGATTATTAGCGTTATGGGCGTTTGAGGCCAGAATCTACATGCTTAATCCCAGCATTCTAGCTTTTGTCCGAGATCACTTTGCTTATGTTTTATGCGAGATGTACCATAATTTCGGCTTGCTGGGTCATAATAATAGTTTTGTATACATGTGTATTATATAACTTTGGTTGTGTTGTATCTAAAAAATACTTTTCCTTGTAACATCAGTTTCAGCCACGCCCATTTCGTAGAACTGGTGTTTAAATTATGGGTGGTTTTCTATCAATGGGTGATTTTAGCTTTATGACAATAGTCATGCAATACTCGTGTTGTATGATCTCAATTAATATGACAATTTCGGAGACAGTCTTAATATTTCAACCATTTTAATGCTATAATTCAGAAAAATGTCTATCTGGTGGCTAAACGGTTTTCTGCAGCTGTGATTAGTCTCAGTGGTAAATATAAATAACTACAAATATCCCTATACTTATTAAACCTGTTTGGACATTTAACTTTTCCCTAGAAATGTTTTGACTTTTAATAATTTATTATACCAGTGACTCGTAGGATAAAAGGGTATACTACATTCGTCGGAAAATATATAACAGGTAGAAGGAAGCGTTTCCGACACTACAAGGTATATACATATATTCTTAATCAGGACCACTAACCGAGTCGATCTAGTCATGTTTGTCTGTCCGACTGTCCGTCCGTATGAATGCTGCGATCTCGAAAACTATTAAAGGTAGAAAGTTTAGGATTTGGCATTTCGAATTTAAAAACAAGGAAGAACGCTATAGTCGAGTACCTCGACTATCAGATACCCGTTACTCAGCTAAATAGAGATATGCAAGTAGCAAAGCGAGATTAAAATGCGCCACCTACCGGCGGTATACAGATTTAAGCGTTATGGGCGTTAGAGTGGGCGTGGCAAATTTTTTGGACCAATCAATAGGTATTGACGAGACCAATACATTTCAGTTGAAATTTTTTACCTAGCATGAAAATTGTGGGCGTCACAGGTTTTCGCGGTTTGTGGGCGCTAAAGTGGGCGTGGCAAACTTTTTTTTGGGTCAATCGATAGGTATTGATGAGAACAATACATTTCAGTTAAAATTTTTATTCTAGCATCAAATCTGTAGGAGCCACAGTTTTGGGCGGTTTGTGGGCTTTAGAGTGGGCGTGGCACTCTGCTGAAACAAACTTGCGCTGCGTAGGAAGCTCAGGAATCTGCACGCCAAATCTCAATAGCCTAGCTCCCATAGTTTCCGAGATCTCAGCGTTCATCCGGACAGACGGACAGACGGACAGACGGACATGGCTAGATCGACTCGGCTAGTGATCCTGATCAAGAATATATATACTTTATGGGGTCGGAAACGCTTCCTTCTGCCTGTTACATACTTTCCGACGAATCTAGTATACCCTTTTACTCTACGAGTAACGGGTATAACAAGGAAGAACGCTATAGTCGAGTACCTCGGCTATCAGATACCCGTTACTCAGCTATATGGAGATATGCAAGCAGCAAAGCGAGATTAAAATGCGCCACCTACCGGCGGTATACAGATTTAAGCGTTATGGGCGTTAGAGTGGGCGTGGCAAATTTTTTTTTGGATCAATCGATAGGTATCGACGAGACCAATACATTTCAGTTAAAATTGTGGGCGTCACAGGTTTTCGCGGTTTGTGGGCGTTAAAGTGGGCGTGGCAAACTTTTAAGGCCAGTTGGATATTAAAACAATTACAGTCCTTTTTTATAAAAATGCTATAAAAAAATCTTTTCGCCGTTTGGAGCCGATAACCCTTCTCCAGCTAAAATAAACGAAAGATGATTTTTTTAAAATTTTCCCATCATCCTTTTTGAACTTCTAAAGACATAAATGGCGACGCGAATTGAAATACACGCTTTTACTAGAAGCAAATAAAAACATATAATGCAATGTGCATGACCAAGATTGAGTGAAACAAAAACCTCTTAACGAAGTGAAATGTCGTGACGATCGCACGTTCAACATACTACAATTTTGTATTAAGCTTTGTGAACAAAAATATATTTAACACTTTCAAGTTTTCTCATTTTATCACGGTAACTGGTGCTTTTGTTTATGTCAAAAGTTTTTGGTTTTGACTAAAGTCCATGACAAGGGTCATCACCACATTGCACACCCAAAAACCATAAAACAATTTACCAATTTCACAGATAAGGGGACACAGATTGTACTTTTAACAGAAGTCCTAAAATCTTGTTTATGGCAGAACTTGTTTAATGGAGTATCGTATTTTAACAAATGAGGTGGCATTCGACGTGTGTTTTCATCAACAATTCAACATAATTAAGGGTTGGGAGCATCTTCCCCATTGACCCCAACGTTCATTTTTTTATTCGTCTTTCTCCTGAACTACTTGACTTTTCAGATATTTTGGAATGCAATCCTTTTAGTTTACCTTACCATTACCTTTCGATCGTTATGATCGGACCATCATACATGATTTTTACTTTTGCGGCTAAATGTTTATAGTAGTCGTCTTTGTACACTCAAGTGATTTTTGTGGATTTCCCTTAACATTTCTAAACAATAAAACAAATAAAATTATTTAAAACTGTAAGAAAATAAATTGTTCAAATGATTTATCCCAAAGCGAAAATGTATGTATAATGAAAACAGTGGAATTTTGTTGTGTGTATGTATAGCCAAGCCATTTTTATATATTTTTCTTAAATTTTTGATTACAGGTTATAGTTACAGCTAAAATGATTGCATTCGAAATTGTTTCCTTTCGTTTACACGGGGTATGCGCATATGTATATATTTTGCTAGGGATCTCTTTTAAATAGTAATCGATTCTTTAATAAGGTTCACATAAATATTTACATGCACATGTGCACATACACTTTTAATAATTATTAATCATTATTTATCGCTTTAACGTTTCCAGTTCAGATCCATTTCTAAGGCTCGTCCCAAGCAACCGTCTCCAGCGTCGGAACTCAATCTTGTATCTAATTGAAGAGAGATTATGTCGCATACATCAATTACAATTGCTAATCGGGCTATAATTACATCAGATTAATCAGAACAGCAATGACAATTACAGCCGAATATAATCAACTCAACGATTTAAACTCAAACAAAAGGCAGGCAGAAGCATTTGCGGTGGACAGCGACAATTAACACATGCACCAGCTGATTAACACATCTGCGACAGTTTCGAATTGCGTAACAACTAAACACTAAAGTAAGCTTTAATATCTAACCAGCACCCAGAAGCCCGTGGCATCATCCCGCCGGAAGTAGCGAGGCCGGTTGTCCCTGAAGACGGTGACGGCGGGAAACTGGTTCTCCTGTATAAATCTAATGGTTGCACGCGTCTGAAATGGAAGCAAGTACTTTAATTATACAGTGAATAATACAAATACATTTCATTAAACTTGGGAGTGAAGGGAAGAAAAGTCCTAAAAAAGCCTATCTAAAATGGGTAACCTTTTTTCTAATAATACGGATTATCTATTTCTCCTGTAACACTAGCTACATCTACGCCCCTTTTGCAGAGCAAGGTTTTATTAAATTTCCGTGTGTTAACACGTAGATGAGTGGTTACCTTGCGATGCCTGAATTTAAAATGTAGACATGGAATACTGGTGTCAACTAATCTCAACAAATGTAGAAATTTAAAGACAGTCGAATGGTTAATGGGACTATTTGATTCAGAATATACATCTCTAAAAAACAGAAACTCAACCAACAGGTCAGTAACAATTATGTTGAAGGAACGATTGATAAAGATATTTTTAGTTCTTTGGATTTTTTGAATGGAAGTTTCTTCTCGTTGACAACCCTTTATGAAGCCTAAAAAATGTTGTTGAACAAATAAAGCTCCTCTCTGTGTAGATCTCGACGCTCACACACCTGGGGCGCAAAGTGGGGCGGCTCCACGTCGGGACTGGAGGACAGGTGCTGCAGCAGAAACTCATCCGTTTGGGATAGCCACAGATCGGCGCCGCGCAGCGGATCATAGTTGAAGGGTCCGATACGAAGCATGCCCAGCGAGGAGTCGTATACATCCAGGACCTATGGGCATAGACCATTAGCGAGATGGCAATTTGGGATCAGGCTTGACTTACCGACTGCGCTCCCATAAAAATGCGAGCATCGCGCAGTTCCCGATCTGGTCCTCGGTCCGGAAAAGAGGCCGGAAAGATCTCACCAGTCTTGATGTTGACACCCACGCCGTAAATGATCGGGCAGCTAATCTCGCCGCGCATCATGGTGTTCAGCTCGCCCACGCAGGCCTGCGTTAGATCGATTTCCAGTAGGTGATTGTGGAATGATTCTGTAACAAACAAACGTGACATCAAAAAGGGTCTTAACTTTTATCCATTTTCAAAAATGTTACTAAAGAATATGTGTGCCAGGAATATGTTTGCTTTTCCGTTACTCGTAGGTATACTAGTATGTAACAGGCAGAAGGAAGCGTTTCCGACCCCATAAAGTATATATATTCTTGATCAGGATCACTAGCCGAGTCGATCTAGCCATGTCCGTCTGTCCCCATGAACGCTGAAATCTCGGAAACTATAAGAGCTACAATGCCTGCGAAGCGCAAGTTTGTTTCAGAAACGTGCCATGCCCACTCTAACGCCCACAAGCCGCCCAAAACTGTGGCTCCTACAGTTTTGATGCTAGAATAAACATTTTAACTGAAATGTATTGGTCTCATCAACACCTATCGATTGACCCAAAAAAAGTTTGCCACGCCCACAAACTTCATTAAATCGAATATATGAACGTGGACATCTGGGAAACTATCAAAGATACAGAAATGGTATCTCAGATTTAGATTTCGTAGCCCTGTACGCAGCGCAAGTTTGTTACGCAAATATGCCACGCCCACTCTAACGCCCACAAACCGCCTAAGCCTGTGGCGCCCACAATTTTCAGGCTAGAAAAAAATGTTAACTGAAATGTATTGGTCTCGTCAATACCTATCGATTGATCCAAAGTTTGCCACGCCCACTCTAACGCGCATAACGCTTAAATCTGTCTACCGCCCACATAATCACTTATTGAGATCACGCTTGCATATCTCCATTTCCCTTTGGTCCCATTAGCTGAATAACGGGTATCTGATAGTCGAGGCACTCGACTATATCGTTCTTCCTTGATTATATTTATAATTGTTTCGTTTCTGACCCAAACTGATGGGATTTGTGGTGCAACCATCTGTTTTACTCACGCATGATGCTGAAGAAGACGTCCTCGCCGTAGCCCTTGGCATCCCGATAGCCACCAATCAACTGCAACTCGATGCGACCCTCCGGATAGCCGACGGCCAGCTCCTGAACCCGCGACACCATGGTGCACACAGCCTCGTCCACGCCGCTGCCATCGAAGTGGGCCAGAGCCACAGCGCCAGATCCTGCCGAGGAATGGTGGGAATTAGCCAGGGTTAATGAGCCAAATGAAGCTTATTTATGGGGCGAAGGACAGTGGGAAACCTACCCGAGTGCCGGACCACGACGATAATACAGGTGGTGGCATCGTCGGCGCCGATGATGTTGACGTGCTTGTCGTGTGGAGCGGAGGCGGCCAGTTCCCGCTGACCCACGTAGAGCAGACCCACCGGCCCCACCGACTTGGCCTGGATGGAGTGCAGCTGCTGGGCGTAGTCTCTGTAAACGGGATGCTGCAGGAAGAGGCTGTTGGTGTCCATGGGGCAGTCGTCCTGCAGCACACCATTCAGCACGAGCACCATCCTGGCTGTGGGTTTGGTCCTTCCTTGACCCTTGTCCAAGGGTTTCGCTTTACGTTACTGGGAGTTTGTCTCGGGCAAGACAAGTAGCAGGCAACTGAAAGAGGTAGAGACACAGAATTACTTAGAATCCAATGGAGATGGGAAATACACAAGTAGCTATGTCTTCCCCCCTGAAACTGAAACTCCAACAGAAGCAGCAGCATAAAAATCAATTTACGATGCCCGCAACCGCAGCAGATTTGCATGTTTGATAATAATTTCATGCAGCCGGGCTGAGAAATATGTTTACACCTCGATCCCTCCGCGGCTGACTCGGCTGACTCGTAAATTTACCCAGCTCTCGAACAAGAAGTGCAAATAAAAATGTCAAGAGTGTGGGCCCGCGGCTGATTCGATTCCCTGCTCACCGGCCAGCCAACAATGGACACCCTGAAATTGGTTCGCAGGGGCGTGGCTCAGAAGGGGCCGTGGTGGACCAGTCCCTTGGCCGGCTCGTGGCTCTTCGGGAAATCTAATGAAACAATTAGAAGGCCACTGGGGGGTCATCAATTTACGGAGTGATACCCGCCGCCCATATGGCCGGCAATTGAGGCAAACACCCCGAGTCACAGATGTCACACGAAAGTTAATAAACATTAAGTGGCCGCCACAGCGAATTAACCACCAAATGAACAACAAATTTAATAGAATTTCATATTGCTCGGCAGCACCCTGTTCCCGAGTGCAACTGCAACGCGATCTGAGTCACCGCCTGGCGGGTAATTGAATTATTTACCTACGGATGCTGTCTAGTTTCAATTAAGTGAAATAAAGACAAGCTAAAGTTCAAGTATAAGTGCATATGCGAGTACAGTAACAGCGTCGTAAGAGACTCATAAACATAAATGATTGCATGGGCAGCGAAAAACAATTGTCGGGGCTAATTCCCGATGAAAAATTCGTTGTCTGCTTGTCAACAAAAAAATACAGAAGAGAAATCTTAAGAAAATAAACCAAAATGCAAACAAAGCCCCAAAGAATCCCAGCCAGGAACAACACTATTAACTCGGTTCGGGCGGAAAACAATGGAAACTCTGGGGAAAAATCAAACAGCAAAACGTGAAGAGCTCGGTCTGGATGCCGGATGGTTCAGGAACCCGGCTAGGATAGCAATTGTTATGCTGGTCTTCGGCCTGGTCTTGCCTGGAAGCAATTTAGCCGCGATCATGCATGAATCTTGATTAGATATTCAACGAGAAATAATTTGAAAATGATGACAGTTGGCGATAGGCGCGCTCCACTCTCGGAGCCAAAGGATGGATGGCCACACTGGGAGAAAGGTGGCTTACAAACATTTGGATAATAAAGGAATGGATTGAACTCGATAAATACGTTGTATTTGAACTTAATTTAAAATAAATTACTTCTGTTAAGACTTAAAATGTATTATATTACTATGGGTTATGATATAGATACTTGTATTATTGTTTCATTATCACTTTTTTGCGAATACCATCCTGGTTCTTTCTGTGCAGCTGAACCAGCCAGGCAATGGAATGAAGCAGGAAAGGAGCCGCAGAATGCAGGCGATCTATGTAGGTGAGGCAGGATGACCGAGTTTTCCCCAACTGATTCCCAATCAAAGACCCAAAAGTTCTGTTGACTCTGGCTGAGCGGGCGGTCTTGCCAGTCAGTTCGTGCCTGGGCTAGAGATTCCCTCCACTTGATAGGGCCGGCCGAAAACCTGAATCCCAAGAAGTCGCGGCCAGCGAAAGAGGAGTCTCCGATTCCGGCGTGATCGATGGCAGTCGAACGGGTGATGGCTGCGAAAGAACGCAGCCAACAAGGCCATCAGAAACGATTCAATTCATTAGGCCGGCGACGAGTCTATTACGACGACTGGTCCGTGGAACTCGTTACGGTTCTGGCTTATAACAATCACAAATTATGGGTTTGCGGCTGGGCAGGCAAAATGATCTTGTAGATTTAACACTGATAGCCAGTGCCGGGCCGCAAACAGGTTCCATTTGTCTACTGGCCGGGCATTCTTGGCCACATGATTGATTGCGCTTTTGACGAGTGCAACGGCGGCAGCAACTGCAACTGACAGACTGCAACAGCTACAACTGCTACTCTTCGTGGTGACTCCGGTTCTGTTCCTCGTTCTGGTTCTGGCCAAGTAATTTACACCCAGCCTCTGGCTTCCAGCTCATCTCTCCAGCTGTCGGAACACGCTGGCCGCACATTTGGCATTCTTTCGGGCAGCCCTTTACACGACACAATTGTCAACGCGAGCGCGAACAAATTTCAGCCAAAATACGAGCTACATCGCAACCGGTTCCCTGGCCGAAATTCCGGCCAAAATGAAGAAATTGCTGGCGGGAAACCGAAGCCACCGCGGGGAAAAGGAGGCCTGCAGAGAGGACGGAGAAGGTGGGGGAATCGGAATCAACGCGACTTGGATCTGGCCAAGTCTGGAGCTTCAGTGGAGGGCCTCTTCCGGGTTCGTGATTTTCCTTTTGTTGCTGCTGCTGCTGCGGCTGCTGCTGTTGCAGTTGTCATTTTTTTCCACACATTTCATGGCCGGCATGCGGAAATATTGTAAAATTAATTTCAATCGTTTGTTTATCGAAAGATAACTCTATCTCTGGCTCCTACAGTGGGTTCTGCCCCCGCCGATCCCCACTCGCTCCCATTTAATGCCGCTCTGACAATTTAATTTGGCCCAGCTGCAGTGGATTGTTTTGGCCCTGGTCCAAGACCAGGTCCAATGGCTTTGGCCAAACGTGACTGCCAATTGACTTCCACACAATTTCGCTTTGGCACGCAAATATCGTGAGGCCGGCTACCTTCCGAGCCGAGCTCCCCAAGAAATGGTCACCGTGGTAGGACCAAAAAAAGGAAATCGAAAGTTTACATTGAGTGGAAGCTGGGCTTCGTGTTCCTCTCTGGCGGTTACAACTTTCTGGGATGCCAAAATCAGCCGTAAGAAATAACAACCACCGGAGGAACAGACTGAATCCCAGTTGACATTTCTGGCCATGTTTTTCGTGTCGTTTGTTGTTTTTCTTTTTTTGGTCTAGACCCGCGATGGAAGATGCCAATGCAAAGCCGAAAATCCAAAGTCTAAAGTCGGAGATTTCCTGAATAGCTCTAATTAGAATTGCCGATCGTCGTGCTCCCCGTGGCTCGATGTGCTCAAATCAGCAATTCAATTCTATAATTCTATTTCATCCAGATAATGATTAATGATGATAGGTTCATTATACGCGTACTGTCATCGCCCCATTCCATTAGAAGTGCAGTAAAGTATCTGGAAGTTACGACTTGGTACTTGGCTGTCAATCACTCAATAGTTGGATTGCAAAAGGGAGTGTCGGATATGAGAGTTGACAATAGATTTTACGTTTCAATAGAGAGTTGAAGTTACCGCAGTTCTTCGATTTAGTTATATTACCAATCTAAAGTTAAATTGCCTTTAAACAGGTCAGTTAAGTGGCAAAGCTTTCTACACTACCTTTTGCGAATTTGGTTGTGGGGGGGTAGAAATCAAAAATTTGGAGTATATTACATATCTATCTTCTATATCCCGTGGATCCGCGCATGCCTTTAATCGATTTCAAATACATCAATTATATTTCAGATGGCGAGCTTAAGCTGAATGCTTTCAGAGTTAGTAAACTTCTAGAAAAACGATAACCTATAATCTTAACTTCCAAGTCCCAAAAAGTCTAGATTATTCGAATTTCGAAATGATATTTGGCTGTAATGATGTGGCTATTTAGCCTTTAACTTATTGCCACCTTTAACTGAATATTTTTTGTAGATCTTCAGCTTCCCTAACATGTGTTTTAAGAAATATTGTAATGACGTGATAAATCTGAGATTTATAAAATAAAGATCCCAACGTGGGCTTCCATTTCTGGAGGCTGTTACATAAACTCGCAGGATAAGACCTCTGTTTAGTACGTTACTCAGACTCCCCAGGATAAATCACCTATTTAGTGCCATTTGCATCGCACAATTTCCCAGAGTCGGCCGAAAAGGAAATCTATTTTCACACAGCAGTCAGGCCCAAGAAGGCGAATTCTCACTAAGTCTCTTGTCCCATTACTAAGTTGGGATCGTCCGATGTTGTTGCTGTCGTGTAGTATCTGCTAAGTTGCCGCCGTCCCAGTCTCTGTTACTTTTTGTTTTTACCGAAGGCCTCCTCAGCCAGCTGGTTGTTTTTCCCTATTTTGCTTTTATGGCTGCTTATGCAAATGCAATGCGACTGAGCGGAGTGTGCGTAAACGTTTGCGCCTTTTGTTCACATGGATGTGGATGGGGTCCGCCGATTCCGAAAGCGTTGCGCTGCCGTCATGTCCAGTAATTAGCATAGCACACAGTCCCAAACGCAGTCGTTTTCTTTCAGTTTTTCGTATTTTTTGTATATTTTTTTTAATTTGTTGTATTTTTTGTCTTGCCGATATTGTTGCTGCTGCTGCTGCCTGACAACCGCGGCACTTTTTTTGTCTCTCCTCCGCAGTTGCACTCGTCAAACAAACCCGCCGTCGGTTTGCATTAGCTGAAACCAAAGTCTGACTTACTCTAACTAAGTTAAACTCGTTTGGCTTTTATGGACTGCGCTTTACGTACTGAAAAACAAACTGCGAATTTCTCGGAAAGTCGCTGGACTTTTGATATGTAGAATATTGTTTAGGAGTGGACCATATGAAAGGGAATTCAGGGATATTCCTTTGGCGGAAGATTCAGTTTTAATAATTATTTTAATATTACAATTTGTATTTTCCTGGATACAGTTTTGGAATAAACATAAAACTTTTTATCAATTTTTAAATACCCTAACTCTTATGCAATATGGTTAGAAAATGCCTGCGCTATCTTTCCTTACTGTCTATATTTACAAGCAATATTCACACATGAGTTCCTGACATTTCTGAATACCTTTTTCCTAACCTCTACAACTAATTAGTTGGATTTTTCCGCCATAGTAACTCATAAGAATCCCCGAATTCCTGAAGTTTCCGATCAAGGATTGCCCATTGCATTTGCGTTTGTTTTCTTGTCAGATGAGCCGCCAGCGTAGAATATTTGCCAGCGCAATTGGACATG